GTCCATATACCCCATCTTATGTCACCCGAAAGCGCGATGCCTCGCATGAATATGGACGCAAACGCGTACACCATCCTCACCGGACTCTCGCGAGCTTGTTATCTCGTTGTGCTGTTGGCCTCTCTTTCGATTACGGTTACGCGCGTACGCGAGGAATAGATCGAGTAGAAAACACGGAAGCACCTTTCCATGATGCCATACTTTATATGTATATTGTAGGCAGCAGTGACCGATGATGCGGGACACGAGATCGTACCTATACGTGAGCACGAGCTTTACCGATCGTTACCCTGTTACGAAATGGTTTCGCGATAATGCTTCTCATGTATATTATGGATTCGATATTTTCTTCTCGTTTTTTTTTCTTCCTTCCCCTCGATTTCAAATCGTTGATTTTAAACCTGAATTTTTGCATACTTGCTTTTTATTTTTCAATAACGTTGTTGCGGTTGTATTGGCTCCATGGATTAAAATATATTTAGATGCAGGTATTAGTAAAAGTGGTGGTACACGTAAGGGTATAATATACAAGTTGCAACAAACTATTCGATACGTTTGCTAGGCCTATAAGCTGATTTCCCTTCATAACATTACGTGTTAAAACTTTAAATCGCGACTGAAAAAAAAAAAAAGAGAGAGAGAGAGAGAATGTTTTATTAATGCCATAATCATTTGTAAATCAAGAAATATGTGGAAATACGTCCGCGGAGCGAGCAATTTCAGTGTAATCGACAGTCAGCCGGCTTTTTTCCGTATTGTATACACATTTTGCACAATTCTTGCCGCGGTGGTGGTAACATTTTTCGTTTATGAATATTCTAAAATATTTAAATTTAAGTACGTAGGTACGTTGTATATAAAGAAAAAGTTAACATTTTTTTTTTTTTTTTTTTTTTGTTCAAACCAGTTTCTAACTCGATAATTTATAGCTCGCCTTTTGACGAAATAATTACACTTGTTTTAAAAATTTATTTGCAGCTGACAGAATCGTACTTATTTTCCATCAATTTATCATTGACCAACACCATGCATCACCATTATGCTATAGTGTACTTATGCAGTTTGGAAAATTTAAACATTTTCCGTAAAAATACGAGTAACGAAATAAATCTTCGAACAGAATGCGTAAGGTAGATAACTGAATTGAAAACTTTGTAATCAGTTTTACTTTTATACCTACAGTTGAATCGAACATAAAATAAAATCTTTGCATAAAATATTTTGTATCATTGTTAACTGTATAAACTTTATCCTCACTCGTATATACACGGGGTCTTGTAAAGGGAACGAGAAATTAAACATATTCAACATAACGTATTTCTTTTCAAAGTAATGATTGAAAAACATTAGATAGCGAAGATCAAGTTTCCCTTTTTACTTGATCAACACTGTCTTTGAGATTTTTTAATTTTTCCAACAATTTATTCTATGCATGAAATATTCTATTGCTATCATCCCTATTGTGGCACAGTAGTGTAAACAATTGATTTTTTTGATTCTTCGTTTTCCAAGGGTTACTAGGTCTCGATGGCAATTCTAAAAAGTCCTTCAATACGGTTCTCCAAAATGGCTTTCAATGTGACCATTTGTTATCATTTTTCACTTGAGTTGTGAACTTTTCCAATCACCTCCAAGCAATAATTCTCGATGGAAGCAAACGAGACTACTCCGTATCCCAAGAGATCAGTACTCGGTCAAGCGAAACGGGTATGAACCTCCCTGTACTGCTTGAATGTTTCCGAGCAAGAAAGAAAGACTCCTATACATACACGCACGTATATACTCACAGCCCGAGCAAATAAATTATCCACTGATATGAACGACCACGTGCTCGAACAGTGGCACCCGTTATCGCGAAGCGCAAACCTGTAGAATTTGCTGCTGTGAAGTTCACGGTAATCTCGTAACAAATACAGAGGGAGAAGAAATAAACGGAGAGGCCGCGAGTTCGAGGAAGAGAAAGCGAGAGGGGATTGATGAAAAAACGGGGGGTCCGCGATAAAACTGCAATAAACAGCGCGTCTGGGAATCACGGCACGTTTTATCGTATCGGCCGATATGATGTGCGACGATTGACGAATGTGCTCACGTGCTATGAGTTCACGCGGAACGACGAAGGAAAAAAAAAAAAAAAAAAAAAAATCACTCTTATCTATACCAGTGTGGATTTTTCAAATCAGCGAAAATCGTTGTTTTATTGCTTATTGTGTATACTGAATTCATTTCACAGGACCCAGGGGGACGATCGAAAAAAGTCATTGTTTTTCCAAAGTTCCACTGAGACATGGCCTACAGTCGATCAAGTGCTGTTCGGCGATGTGAAAACAATTCCTCCCCCCTCACCCACCAATTCTCGCGGCTTCGCGAACGCCTATACTTTTGTGCATATAATACACGCAGTGGAACATAATATACGTACAGACAGAGGGAGAGTCGGGCAATGTAGAGCCAGTCGACCTTCGGGGCATTGATACAGAGAGAGAGAGAGGGCCTACAGCCATCTATCCCCCTGTGCCTATGTGTGCGTGTGTGTATACACATATAGCGAACTCTGGAATATAAGTACCCATATGTGTATTTGCTGCTCGATCCGCGGCAGCGTTCAACTTTCACGTATCATAATACATAGTTAAAGAATGTGGTTTCCCTTTCAAATTACAAAATACTGCGAGCACAGCAGTATACCTGCTTATGTGTATTATATACTAACTTACCAGAGTTCGTTATACGTATATATACATATATGTGTGTACGGGCAATCACCATTACCACCTTCGCACTCTTGGTGGTGCACATTGTGTACCTATACTTCCCTTAGCATTGAGAATTGCCGTTTTTTTTTTTTTTTTTTTTTTCATTCAATATAAATCGACTCCTGCGAAGCTTAATTACCGATAAAAATACGATTGCGCTGTGTATAAACGCACAAATGGGTGTAACGCCAGGGAGCAAAGTGCATAATATACACATATATACGTACGATGTCGGGTGTATCTCTCTCTTTCTCTCGGCTCAGCTGTTGTCTGATCACTGCACACGCAGGTCCGCGTCTTTGTGTGTCTGCGTATTAATATTATTATTCTTTACTTTGTTATTATTACCTACGCAAGCACATGATGTAAGTAACGCACTTGACTGTCGCAGATGGATTGGTATAGGTTTGAGAAGTAGCAAGGCTAAGCCAATTTCGCGCATCGGTACAATCCTGTCACTTTTTCAGCTCCTCTCTTATTCGATTTTTATGTTGCATACGTGAATATACATACCCACTCTGACGTTGTTGCTCGATCAAAAATATTTTCTTTGTGCGGGCGGGTGGGACACGACTCTGTGTTTTATCGTGCAAATTGGTTCGATCGGTTCGGGTTGTTGATTTACGACCCACCGATATACTATACGGCAAAGCTCGATCGGTGTCGTAGGTATACACCTATACGATTAGAATTTTTTTTTTTTTCTTTTATTGTTTCTCCTGGAATCGTAGTGCGGATAAAATTGGCATTGACACGCGTTGTTATATGATATTCCATATGTGTTAACGATTCGATGATTAATCAAAGTGCAGAGGAATCCATATACCCATGGAGATGGAATGGAAAAAAAGACCCAAGCCTTGTCCCAAGTTCTACATTTCGAGATGTCGAACCTTGACATTTCGATAAATTATTTCGAAAATGTGATAACAACGGGAGCGACAGTCGTTCGCTCTCGTTATGGATCCTTCCCGAGAATCCTTGCCGCTTTGCCTATGTTCCGCGGTGTAGGTAAATATGGTAAATCTGAGTGCGCGGTGGCTCGGTCGGCTAGGTCGTGGATTGGCACGCGGGAGACCGTGGTTCGATTCCCGGCCATTGCGACTTTCGGGCAAATACCTCTGTGATTCTCACATGTGCTTTTTCACCACGCAATGCTCCTCGAGGAGGGTTTAGGTGACCTTCTCGCAGCAAAAATTGCCTAATTTCTCCCTACCCCCTCCCAGTAGTGGGAGGCCTCCCATCCCTTTCCTTGTCCCTTTCCCAAGTGCTAAGTGCCCATAGTAGTGCCCTTAATAAAGGAGCCGGACGTAGAGCACTATAATATAAAAAAAAAAGGTATATGCATAGAATTACTTGATAGTATGAGTGGTATCGTTATTAATTTATATCTGAAAAATTTGTGCTAGTCTTAATGAGATATGCTCATAAAATTTGATAATATAGATAAAAGATGTATAAACAAGTTGGGATTCTANATTAAAGGATATTAGTTTTTATGAGTACTTTTGATATAAATAAATGTATGCTTATCATAAAAAGTAAAAAAAAAAGTAATGTATTATTTCTATTTAGAACAGTAATTTGTACCGATGACACGGTGGTTTCTATTGTTTAGAACAGTAAAAATTATTTCATAAGCTATTATTTTTTATTTTAGTTGTTACTTATTACATATACACACTGCAATTTTTTTATTAAATACAGGCACTCAAATAATTTTTATCTGTTATGTACTTATTTATTCTATCGTAAAAGTGAGAAGGGGGATAGTTTATAAATTACGTAAAAGATATTTTCTCTATTTTCAGATTCCCATATTCTCCTATTCGTAAAGAATCGTTGAATAAATTTTAATTGTATTTATTGCTGTAAATACGTAAAGCTTACAAATTATCTACTATTTAAAAGAATTGCCAACAAAAAGCAAGGTTGATTAACTCCTTATGTTTGACAGCAATAGTTGGAAGTAATTCATCGAAATAACTTCAATTTATTCCAATTCAATTATTTTTATTTGATCGTCCTTGATTCTTTTTCTCATGAGAATAAATATATATTTTTTATTGTATTTTTTTTTCTCCGATTGGTGGTATCAATTTGGAATGTATTTTCTTTTTACCTCGTGTTTCAACTTTATATGACTGAGTTACTTCACGTGTGAAAGCGCTTCCCTCGTCATTGCAAAACTAATACGTGTTTGTACCAAAATTCATAACATTACCACCTTCTAATTGATCAACACTTATTTATTGTTAGTATTATTATTAAATTTTTTTTTTTAAAATCGATAATCCCTAGTATGCTTTAAAAGTGCTTTCCATATGATAAAATTTATCTTTTTTTGTTTCTACTGTACTGCAGTACCGCACTCGCTCGCAAAGAGTTTAATTACAGTAACGCAGCAGCGGCAGCCTCGTGTTTACAAATTTTTTGCCTCGAAGCGTACACACATAGACTCACGTGTCCCGGTCCGCTGCTGTTTAGCATAACCATGCCCTTTAGGTGGGAGTATTGCTCGGCGATTGCGATTAGACCGAACAGCCGAGATAAAGTTGTCGTGCGTTATACTGGACCGGTTCTCCGTTGCTGCCGACCTGCCCATGCACTGATCACGTGACGCGACGGTGTTCAAAATGAACACGAAACAAAGACATTCGCAAACGAGACTCGCTGAATAATCGTTTTGGCTGGTACATCGCATGCCGCACTGCACTTTGGTATTGATTACTTTGGGATGACGATTGGTCGAGGAGCGATGGCAGCAGCGACACGATACCCTCAGTAATTCAGAGTTTTCTTCACGGCCTCGAAGCAGCGCAGCTTATCCGGCAGGTAAAACGGCTCCTGGATGTGAGGGAACGGAGTGTCCCAACCTGTTACTCGGCCGACCGGTGCTTCCAGGTGCAAAAAGCACTCTTCCTGCAATTTTTAAACACGTTTGTCTCTTACTTTACACAAGACATAAGCCATACCGTACTGCGGTCTTTTATTTCGAGCTATTAATTGATAATTTTTTTTATGCTTTTTTCTTTCTACGTTCATTAAATTGTATTTAACGGCGTTGAGTGATTTGCGAAATTTATCAAAAAGCCGTCCGTGCTTGCACGCGGAAAAAACAAGGGTTCCCGGACAGGTTGTCTGTTAAAACCGCGGGAAGTTGGGATGTTATGCTTATCACAGTATTTTTTGTTTCTGTTCTTAGTATGTTTTTTTTTTGTGGTATGCAATATAATTTCAACAACATTTACATAAAATTTAGCCTGAAATATCGACACTTTTTCAATAGAGTTTTTTTTTCCTGATACATGATACTTGATGGTATCAAAGATAAGTTGTGAAGAAATATTATCTAATGAAGCAAATGATAACATTATCTACGTTGTGGTTTCTTTACTCGAGCGTCTTTTCAATCCGGAAAATTGTTATTATTATTATTATTATTATTTTTATTATTATGATTTTTGAGTACGAAATTTTGATTTTTCAAAGTAAATTTTACTTTCGATAGGTCAATTTTATATACTATGTATTGCTGCAAAATTTATTGAATATCAAATGAAACATTCCGTGATGGACACACGACATCCCAACTTTACCATATTTTTGCAGTAAAGAATCTCCTTTGCTCGTCTCTTCGTGTGCAACGGTTCTACTTTTCATTTGATTGAAATCAATGAGCACACGATGTTTGCCAATTCGTATACGTGCATGTGTACGTGTATATAAAATTTATTTCATAAACCTGTATGGTTGCGGCAACCTCGGCTCCAAATCCATTAGTCAACGGCGCCTCGTGAGAAACAATGGCACGGCCGGTCTTTTTGACTGACTGCGAAATCAAGATTGGTGCATATTATTACGCTTGCCATTATTTTTGCGTTGCAATAAACAGAATCTAAAATATTTTAAGTAACTTGATCACCAATGATTAAGTACACTATAAGAAAATTTGTTTTTTACAAGAAAGTTACAAATTTTAACAAATAGGTACATTGTTCTATTATTCTGAAACATTAAAAAAAAAATCTGTTTTTTACTTTATCTTTGATTTCATACAATTTAGATCAAAATGTGGTCAAAAAGAGTTTTGGATCTCATTTTTTTTCGATTTTTGTTTCGTTTTTAGTAGGAAGTTGAAACGTTACAACAAAATTATGGATGCTAAAGTTGTAGACCATAAAAATTTACGTAATATCTTGATTTTTTTCTGGTAACATCATAGGATAATTAGACGTCCACGTAGACAGTTAATATTTAAACAAAAATAAAAATTTTCATACATTTTTAATTAAAGGATATTAGTTTTTATGAGTACTTTTGATATAAATAAATGTATGCTTATCATAAAAAGTAAAAAAAAAAGTAATGTATTATTTCTATTTAGAACAGTAATTTGTACCGATGACACGGTGGTTTCTATTGTTTAGAACAGTAAAAATTATTTCATAAGCTATTATTTTTTATTTTAGTTGTTACTTATTACATATACACACTGCAATTTTTTTATTAAATACAGGCACTCAAATAATTTTTATCTGTTATGTACTTATTTATTCTATCGTAAAAGTGAGAAGGGGGATAGTTTATAAATTACGTAAAAGATATTTTCTCTATTTTCAGATTCCCATATTCTCCTATTCGTAAAGAATCGTTGAATAAATTTTAATTGTATTTATTGCTGTAAATACGTAAAGCTTACAAATTATCTACTATTTAAAAGAATTGCCAACAAAAAGCAAGGTTGATTAACTCCTTATGTTTGACAGCAATAGTTGGAAGTAATTCATCGAAATAACTTCAATTTATTCCAATTCAATTATTTTTATTTGATCGTCCTTGATTCTTTTTCTCATGAGAATAAATATATATTTTTTATTGTATTTTTTTTTCTCCGATTGGTGGTATCAATTTGGAATGTATTTTCTTTTTACCTCGTGTTTCAACTTTATATGACTGAGTTACTTCACGTGTGAAAGCGCTTCCCTCGTCATTGCAAAACTAATACGTGTTTGTACCAAAATTCTTACCGAACCTACTTTCTAATTGATCAATAATAGAAAGGTAATGTATTTAAAGGAATTTGAATAGATTATTCCTGCAATATTTTGAAATAGAGTTTTTGGGATAAGAATAGAAAAATTGGACCTTCGTGTCTTTCATCTATACGGTGTCCTTTAAAGTGAAGATTTGTGCTATATATAACATAGAACAAGTTGAGAAAAGAATTACTTTAAGTTTCTTCTCAAACATCCACACGACATAACTTAATATTTAAAAAAAATTTTAAACTCATTTCCAAATATAGTACAATTAAAAAGGCGAAGTGAAGGATTTAAGGACACATTAGTAGTACTATTTATCTTATTACCGTAAAATGAACGTATCACACTGAGCAACCCAATTCTTAGAATCAAAGAAAATTTCTTTACCCTCATTCCGGTAAATATTTTCTTATGAGTAAAAAAATATAAGTTAATTGAAAATAATATTTTATTAAATTAAAATTTTCTTTTTTTAATTACAAATTTCTCATTTAGTTGTACGAAATGTTTTTTTGGATTGACTAAATTTGTTTCAATTAAAAGAAAACATTTAATGGAATGAGGGTAAAGAAATTTTCTTTGATTCAAAGAATTGGGTTGCTCAGTGATGCAGAGGAAGCGTAATTCAAGCATTAAGTTCACGAGATTTAAAGATAAAGAAGCTTTGACTGCGTGCCTACCTGGCAGACGGAGTCCGAGTCCCACGGGAGAATCGAACGAAGGTCTATGACCTCACACAGCGCCCCAAGTTCATCGCGCACCATATCAGCAGTTTCCAGCAGGACGTGCACTTGGGTTCCCCAGCCGATCAGGGTAATTGCGTCGCCTGCAAGCCACACGGCCATACATTAAAGCGCAACGGAGTTACCTCCTGTGAAGTCGATCGATACTTTGCGTTGTGTATCGCGCGTAGTTTTTCGCTTTCGACGGCTTCGGGGAATCCCAACGAGGGAGCGTTAATTATTGTCATCAACTCGCCGTATGTTCGATGGATACAATAATTTAGCCGTGGCACGTATAAATCTCGTCTGTTTTGCAGGAATAATATAATAGGCGCTCACGATGCGTATATATATGTGTGTGTATATATATAATAATAAATTATTGTGAAATTGCGAAAGAACGTATCTGCATAATAATGTTATTGTTGTACTGAAATTTTAAATGGCCGATCGCGTCTCTCTTTATCTCGATTGCAGTTTGTATTTAAATGTCGTCCATTAGATGTGTGTATATAATTATGTACTGGGTGATAAAATATATGAATTCAAGCGTGTGACGCAAACCTTCTCTTACGATATCGGCAGTGTCGAGCGGCAATTTGTAGTATTGTAAGGGTACGGGCTCCGAAGCCGTGCGGTAGAGGATTTTCGGCTCAAAAAAGATGCATGGATCTGGTTCCTCGATGCAGCTCAACAAAAGACCCTTGGCTTGCACTGGCCCTCGTGGAATGACCACCTGTATTGAAATAACACTTTCATAAATCATTCAAATCCAATGTTTTTTTCTCATCATGAAATCGTGCCATGTGTAAAACGCGATTAAAAATAAAAAAACAGTTTGTTTCTGGGCTCAAGCAATATATGAGTTTAACAATATTTGTCCAAGAAATTTGCAGTGGTAGCTCCCATGGTCTTCTCATGAATAAAAGTTTTAAAAGCCTTCGAACTCGTCCCCCTCTTTTTTGAAGTTAAATCCGCGCTCTTACACTTGTGAGCTTTCCCACGTGTAAGGGCTCAAGCCGAGCCTTTTCATAAGCAATATCGGCACTATATTTTAAGGCCAGTGCATTTCGCACCTACAGGCCCGGTATTGACAATAAAAAAAAAACCACGTGCTTGCGCTTGGCCTCGTTACATACTCGTTCGATTCAATAAGCGCGCACGCATAACACGTATGATGATAGCTCGATGCAACATAACTGACCCTGAGCCCGGGCGTGTGCGCGAAGTAGGCCTCCGGACTCTGGGAGTGGTAGAGACCGCCGTGACCCACGGCTCCGCAAGGAGCGCGCACCGTCAGCTTGCCGCAGTCCCACTCGCCGCCGCTTCTGTACCGGCACTTGGCTGCTTCGTTTACCAGCTGTAGCGATCAACAATCCACACCACATGTGATTTTTACGGCAACAAAAATGAAAACTATGTAACTATATTATATCTCGTTAGTGTTCTTTGCCTTTACCGATCGCCAAACGGTCGGGCCGACGATCGGCAAAGCGTTGCAGTTCGAGGGAAAATGTACCTGGTCGAAGGCTGGAAATATGTAGTCGGCGAACTGGATCTCGGCGATGGCCGTGACACCGATGTTGGCCAAGCCGATCCCGAAGCCGACGATGCCCTGCTCGCACAGGGGCGTGTTGAACACCCGGTGCTGCCCGAAACGGTCCTTCATACCAACCGAGCAACGGAACACGCCACCGAACTCTATGTCCTCGCCAAATAGTACTGCAAACAGGGAAACAGTTGTCCGATGTCGTTGTACTTATTTTTTCATGATTATGATCATGACAACGTCATCGCTACTGAAATTAATCATTTTTGGAAGACGAGTACTTTTGTTCCCCAGCTCGAAAGTTGGGTAATCATTGCTTGCAATTGTTTATTCGTATGACTTGTTATCACGAATTTTCGGGGCTGTGTTTTTAACAATCGATCGACAAACGACGGTCTTGGCCATAATTTTACACGATATTGTTTCAAAATTAAGTATATCGCAATCAAATCTGCCACGCGATGTTTGACAAAAATTTTCGCCGGAATGAAAAGCCGAACCCGTAGTTTTTGGCTTCTTACCTGCTGTTTCATCCTTCTCCAAGCACTGGTGCATTGCGTTGTTTATAGCGTTGCACATGTTCATCTCCTTGGTTTCCCCTGCAAGGGATGCAAGAGGTAAATTTGAAAGCACACGCAACACTCGCACAGATTTTTTTTTTGTTCTTCAAACAAACTCATTTTATTTAGTCTCGACCACTTGATCGAAAAATTACATCACTTACGCAATCGCGAGAGCAGAATTCATTGACAAACTTAAAAAAAGAAACTCAATGCAACGATCGTCACCTGCATCTTCGAGCACCGGGTTCGGATAGTAGTTGAACTGGATGCTCCTGGAGGAATTTTTCAGCCGATCTGCGGGCAGGCATCTTCGAAGTAGCTTCGTGGCGTGCTGCAACGGCCTGCACGACTTACTGAGAATCATGATGGCACCGCAGTGACTATCGTCGACGAACACGGCCACGATAAGCAGGGGGCTCTCGCACGCGCATTATCATCTCAACTTGTTTACCCGAGCATACGAATCCTCCCCACTCCACCCCCCTTCGATCATTCTTTTCCTCTTTCTCTACATCACTCCTCCTCTTCGATTTCGTAATACTTGATGTATTCACCATATATTTGCCGAGCGCACAATATTGAGCGAAGCTTTTTTGATCTTACATTAGAGTTTGCTACGAATTACAAGCTGTTTTTCTACAATTACGGACCTTCACCCAACACCCTTTATGACAAATTAAACATTTAATTTTTAAGTAGACAAACAAACGAGTTCAGCATGTTTTGCCAATTTTACATCAATGATTGCTGGGCAAGTTGATACTGATGGTCTTAGTTTCCATAAAGTCGTCCAAAGAGTCCAGGCCCCTGTAATTTTTCAACCAAGCTTTAGTTCAATCATACCCAAGTATACATAGCAGCTTTGTGACCAATCTTGGGCACAATTATTCTATAGATTTTTTAACACTTTGAAAGAACATTTTTTTTCAGCAAATGAGCGCAATACACTTGAGATGTTAAGGATTATTGTAAGATACCTTGAAATCGAATATTAAGATATTATGATTTTTTTTCTTTCAAATTGTAATTCATCGGTTTTACCGGAAAAAATTATGTTAAGCACTGTGATGTGAGTACTTGATAATTAAAAAGAAAAAAAAAAATTCAGTATAAATAATGCATCACATATTTACAATTACAAAAGTGCTCGTGCCCAAGTGTGCCCACAATAAAAATATCGTACACAATGAGTTGGATCTCTCAACGGTATACTCACAGCTCTCGACCCAAGCCCGACATTTTGTAACCGCCGAACGGAGTTTGTGGATGAACTATGCCCCACTCGTTGACCCTGCGAGGAAAAAATTACCATTTCAAAGTAATAAATCTACTTATTATTATTATTTTTTTTTTTTTTTGTACTCGCGTATACGCGACGAATTATATTGTAATCGTCCACCCACCAAACAGTACCGGCCCGAACGGCTTTTGAAAATTGTAGCGCTGTGGTGAGATTTTCCGTGAATACACCGGCCGATAAGCCGTACATTGTGTCGTTGGCACGTTTTATCACTTCCTCCAAGGTATCGAATTTCAAGATGCTCTGAACTGGACCGAATATCTGATGAGAGGAACAATTGATTGTAGAAATAGTTTTGCGGCGCAAGACCTCCAAACAAAAGATGAATGTATGGACTTTACCTCTTCCTTGGCGATTCTCATGTCGTCGGTGACGTTGGTGAACACAGTGGGTTCTACGAAATACCCCACCTTTCCGTGCCGTTTACCGCCAATCTCGCATTTCGCGCCCTCTTTCTTGCCCGCCTCGATGAGCGACAGTACTTTCTGGAAACCCTTTTCATCCACCTGCAATATTGGCCATACAAAAAGTGATTTTGTTTACAAATTAACTAATTGAAATGAAAAAAAGTTCAACTCACCTGTGGGCCCTGGAAAACCCCGGGCTCGAAGGCACTCCCGACTTTGACTTTCGAGGCAGCTTCGACGTACATTTTGGTAAACCTTTCGTAAACGCCCGCTTGGACAAACAGCCTCGTCGGTGCTATGCACGTCTGCCCGGCGTTGACAAAGAGACCATCGGAGGCGTACTTTAGAGCAGCGTCCACTTAAAGGGGAATAAGTATACGTTACAATTTTAGCGCATCGTTAACAATAGCGGTCGAGACGAGCGTGTCCCGATGGCATTGCGTGACAGGGTCGTTTTTACTTACAATTGGCGTCATTGAACACCACTAGTGGACTCTTCCCTCCTAGTTCCAGGCTCACTTTTTTCAAGTTCGATTTCGCCGACGCTTCGAGTATGGATTTTCCTACCTGTGTTGGGAATCCAGTTAATTTTGGTGCAATGTTATATTATGTCTGAGGACCGATATCTCCATATAGGTATTTTACAAGAATTTTCACAAAAACGACCACTTCAACGATATCACGGAAAATGCGTTTTGCGTTTGACTTTGGTACTCAATGAAAAATCATTATATGCTTCGAAACAATTAATTTATACTTCAAGTCATCATCTAGTTTTCTACAATCATAGTATCAATTAATATCAAAGTTTTTTTTTTTTTCGCAAAGTAAAAAATGTTACGTAAACAGCTGCTCATCGAGCCAACTTTTTTAAATGATATGTTAAAGTATACAGTTTAATGAAGAGCTATGCACCAAGTTTCAGATAATAATTGGTAGTGAAACAAATCCTGGGTGTAATTTTGTGGGAAGGTTTATTGTGCTACGTAACAAACAGCAGACGATGTTGTCGCTTATCTCACGTGTTTTTAACAGAGGAACGTTACGATTTTTTGTATAAACATCTCCGTAACTGTGATCGTGACTTTGTTAAAAATTTTGCCCTCAAACGTGCACCACAAATATTTTTTTCGCAAATTTATATTGTTGCTGCGTCAGTCGTTTCATAAATGATTATTTGGTTCTTCTCCGTACGAATGCTATGTATTACAAGTCTGCATCAATTATTTTTAAAATTTTCAAAACAGTTAATTCTTCATTTCTCTAATACTAATCATTGTGAATTATCATTAGTTTAAATATACAAGGATCTTTAGCAACTTTGCGTCACTGACAAAAACATTAGAAAATTTCAACGGAATATAAGATGTAGATGTACTAAAAGCATAGTAAATTGTTTTTAAAACAAGTGTATCTTTCAAACGACACGCAAAATGACTTGGATATAAAAGTATGGTGATCGTTCTAATACCAAATTCGTTTTTCGAAACAGTCGTAAACACATTTTTATCATTTACTAACGAAAACCGGTATTTTTAAAATAGTCGTCTATTAGACGCCGTGTTCAAAGATGTAAATTTGAATATCTCGAGAACGGCACGCCGAATCTTCATAGAATTTTAATCACTTATGCGAGTACAACAGCGTCAACAACTTATAGTTCTCAAGTTACGTTTTTGTGGAAAACAAGAAAGGCGATTGGTACAAATTTTTTTTTTTTTCCTCGCGCGGGACGTTTTTTCGTGACAACTGGACGTTTACTGCGTCCTCGGTGAGAAAAATAGTGATCGCCACACAAGCGCGATTCGGTCCCTCGGCGATTCTCTGACGAAAATTACTTATTACATCAGACTATGAAATAGTGGAATAATCGAAAAATAATGGGCATCAAGAAGATTTCTCGGTATCGGTGGGGCTCGCCAACCCACGCGAAACAAGCAAACCAGCTGATTATTATTATTTTACTTATTTGTCCCGAGCAATCAAAAGTATGGCCTTACCACAGTCGAGCCCGTAAAACTGACTTTGTCGATGCCGAGATGATTGGAAATGGCTGCACCGGCAGTGGGCCCGTAACCGGGCAGCACGTTTAAGACGCCCGGCGGGAAGCCAGCCTCCTTGACCAAACTGGCGACGTACAGGGCCGTCAGCGGGGTTTGCTCGGCCGGCTTGACGATGAGCGTGCAACCAGCTGCCATGGCCGTGGAGATCTTCAAGCTCAGCAGCAACACGGGATAGTTCCAGGGGATAATGGCCCCGACTACGCCCACGGGCTCTTTTCTCGACAGAGCAAACACCTTGCCGTCTGCGCTTGCGTTAACAAACAACGTTACGATATTACTCTTGCGCTGGGCTCGATTAATTTTCGGGTCGAGGTAAGGTTTGTTTACCAGCTGGAATGGTCTTCCCGTGGACTTTGTCGGCGCATCCGGCGAAGTAGCGAAGGAAACCAACGCCCTCCAGCACTTGGCCGTAGGAGTCTCCGAACGGCTTGCCGTTGTCCAGCGATTCCAGGCTCGCGATTTCGTTGACGTGTTCCTCCATGAGGTCGCCAAGCTACACGTGTTGTTTTTTTTTTTTTTTTTTTTTTCAACATTTTGAACTTTACCCATTTTTACAAATTTATTCGTAGCGCGATGTGAATTCGTCATCGGCACACATGTTTTTCTCTATTTTGAACGTTTTCTGAGTATCCGGTGGGATAAATTTTATTTGACCCTTGTGCGGCAATGAAAATACAAAGGTCCCTTGTTTAATGACTCTCCAGTGTCGAAAAATGTTATTAACGATGGGATATCCGATCGCTGCCAGGAAAGAAAGGACTTGACGTTTTCTGAGTATCCGGTGGGAAAAATTTTATTTGACCCTTGTGCGGCAATGAAAATACAAAGGTCCCTTGTTTAATGACTCTCCAGTGTCGAAAAATGTTATTAACGATGGGATATCCGATCGCTGCCAGGAAAGAAAGGACTTGGGAGGTACGTTAATCATACCTGAGAGCCGCATTCCTCGCCCAAACGAGTATATTAAAACACAATACGTATTATTACAGTGCTTGTAACAATATCAAAAAAACAATGACAGTGGGGTCCCATCGCATTCAGAAAAAGGAAATGCTTGATGCCCGTTGATGACAAATTATTTAACCATTAGCTTAATGAAAAAAAAAAAAACAAAAAAAAAAAAAAGGGCAGTTGCTATCTGTTAGTACGTGTGTATAGGTATGCTATTTTAACTGTGCGCGAAATACGACCTCAACGTACCTTGTGAATGAGTCTGCCACGAGCGGAAGCGTCGAGACTTCGCCAAACAGAGCCTCTTTCGAATGCCTTTTGGGCCGCTTTAACGGCGTTGTCGACGTCAGCCTTAAAAATTGACAAACAAACAAAAATTGTATTCAATTCAATAATATTTCTTCAACTCGATTAAGTTAACTCAGAGGGAAAGAAATAAATTTTACTCGAATGAATAATCGACAATAGAGGATAAATAGTGCGTCGTAGAAATGTATTTATATTTTTCAACGATGCACTCGAGGTACTGTACCCTCTAAAGTTAGCTCAGTCGAATTAGTCAATATTAACTAATTATAAGTGAAAAGTCGTTTACTTATTGTGATGAGTAAATAGTAAAATTTGACTGATTCAACTTTAACGTGGCTCATAGTAATAAAATAGACTTACTTTATCGGCCTCTGATATTTCGGCTATAACTTGTTCGGTCGCTGGATTGACTGTTGGGAACTTTTTCCCGCTACATGAATCCTTCCATTCGTTGTTGATAAATATCTAGGGTGAAATTCAATATTTTTATACTTCATCGTCGTCGTGCCTCGAGTCGTATTACACGAAGTAAACATGAGTAAATTTATCTGTCATCGTTAAATTGACGCGGTAATGAAACAATTTCCCGAAATGTCATTAATAATTTTTTACGGGGTTTATCAATTCAGGGCGGTAGCGTACCAATAGTTACACCTTGGGATTTTAAAGGATGATTTTATTTTTAAAATGATATCAATTATTACCTTGGTGTACTTGATTTGCGGGTGAGCGTTTGGTTTTGGTTGCGGAGCCATGCTTGGTTCACAAGTGTCGATGAAACACGTACACGAAAGGAAAGTGTCCACTGATATCGAATCAACGTACTATTTGACGCGCACGGAAGCAACTGGTCTGCCGAGAAGAACATCTCTATATAAAACTTGTCACCCCCACTTTTCCTCGAACCCCCACTTTGTCTATGCTTCAGTGCGATCTTGGATTGATATTGTTTTCAATATTAAATCGGAAATGATTGTAAAGTCTTTCGCAATCTTTTCAAAATGTTTAAAGCTTGATTTTTTTTTACAGGTACACAGTTGTGTTTTTCTTACGATTCGGTTGATTTTTTTTTGTTGGTAAACACAATCCCAATTGATTTACACACTTTCCAAAACAATAATGAAAATGTACTCACTTTTTTTACATGTACAACAACACTTCATTTCTGAAAATTACATTTTACAATTGACACATTGCAATGCTATGTTATAAGTGCAATGTACTTTTATTATTTGAGGTATGATTAAAAAATTGCCGTATAGTTAATGACATATTCAAATACTAGTAGTGACTATGATTATTCATCTTTTTCTCGAAAACAAATGTTATGTTTTCTCAAATGTAATCTGCGTTAGGAGCTGCGCTTAGTATGATAAAGCTTTTTAGCTGCGTAACTCTCGATAACAAAGCGAAACTACAGGTGCATTTAGTTTCTAAATCGTTTTTTTACAATTAAATTTACTTACATATTAATAACTTCAAAAATTTTGAAGAACTAGAAAAGTGCATGTGAAGTATTGTTTTTATTCTTTTATGAAAAATGCTGATCGTCTCAATACATGTGCACAATAACATTTGTGCATTGTTATCCAGCACCGATAAAACTAATATTATATATATGATAAAACTACGCTATTCATGTAATTGCTATCAGGTGTCACGTCAAAGACTTATAATTTAATGTGTAGACCAAAGCTTAACAGCCTGGGAAGCAAAGATATAATTTAATCGTCAGGATTGTATGTTAGATGATTGTTAGAGGAAATGTTCCAGTAATACCATTCTAGTTATTTTTTACTACGGTGATGCCTCTTTTTACTGGGCTATGTATCTTTATGTCAGAGAGCGGGAATTATTTTCTCGTTAGCCTCATTAACTCGCATCAATTCGTCACTCGACGAGTTGTCACGAAAAATAATAGTAAGAATCAGACAACTCCACGATCGGAGTTACCGAGATCCATATGTTTAACAACTTTAACAATTATTGATTACAATAAGGATTTATCTAACGGTGTCTCGATTATTTCTTCATTGTATTGCAATTTTTCCGCGGGAATTTCTAATTTTTACTTGTTTGTTTGCCATAGATTTCTTTATCACTATACCTAATAAATCAAGAGGCTATTTTTGCCTACTGGTGCGTCAACAGCACTTGACCGTATTATTATAAAATTACATTGTTGCTATAGAAAAGAAATGTGCATTGATCTTGTGGAATTTTTCACACATCGATTAAATAGTAAAAATCGTAAATAATTTTTACTTCGCGACACTATTATTTTACGAAGCTCTCCACCGATAGATTTAACTACGTTTCACTCGTTTGCATAAAAAATATTATTAACGTTGATAGATTTTACCTATCTCTGGATGCGAAACTATATTGTAGTAAAGATAATGAAAAGTGACGCGATGCTAACATACTTGACTGAATTAACCATCACGTCAATCGTGCGGAATTTTCAGCAACGCGCGCCAATTGAATAAATAATTAAAAAGTACTTATTCGCGCGTTATCTTTAAAAATTGTATTTAACGTTCGCTGTTGCTCAAAAAATTTGCATAAAATTTTAAAAGTTCTTCAATTTCGAGAAGAAGGCTTTTTTTCGTAACACAATCACGCATTCGACCATTGTCTCGTCTCCCTGACTTTTTGCCATCTGCAACGACTGCAACATACTTACTCGTGTCACATGTGGGCTCATCTCTCTAATTTTCACTTGTGCGGAAGCGCGGTTAGCACCGGTGATGCTCAGTCTCGTAATTTACAATGGTCTCATGTGGAACAAAAGAGAGACAGCCAGAGATGATTTCTCCGCTTCGCTCCGTCCACGTACTATAGAAGAATATTTTTTGAAAGCTTTTGAAGATCCCTCAGTGGAAGATTTGACAATTTTATCTTTACAACACTTTGAATATTGATCCCATGTACACTCGAGGCACTTTATATTTGTCGGAACGATGAAAAATTACCTGTTAAGTGACAGTACGTCTTTGTTATATTATACGTTACAGGACATCATTGACCGTATGTAGACCAATCGTTCCGACAGATATAAAGTGCCTCGAGTGTACATTGTAAGCAGTACGGTTAGTTTTTCGGTATCTCGAGGAACCTACCCCAAATAAGGTAAATAATGTTTATGTTTACTTTCAGTACTTAACACAGTGTGTCATCGTGTCACTGTATCCCACAGTTTTTTCTTTTTTTTTATCTTACAAATTGCGCAACGAATTATTAGCAATGACTTTTCGAAGATAATTTATAAATTGATGAAACAACACGAGTCCTGAAAAATTTCGTTCAAATACACGTTAGGTTTACAACAAATTAGACTTGTATTTTTTGCTGTCCGTGAAAATTTAAAAATAATTTAGTTGCTTTAAAACTGTTTCACAGAACAGGCACTTGTTTGTTCTATCAAAGAAAGTTTACTAGTTCCAAGTCAATGATTTTATTTTTAAAATGAAGTAGAAATAAAAAAAATACTGCGTGTACCTACATTTTCGCATTTCTTTTCTTCATAGAAAAAAATTTAATTTCAGTGTAAATACGTAATTAAGAGGACTAACTGAGAGTTGATATGGTAGTTCACTGCTTTATTGTTGAGTGTTACATATAAAATCGAGATTTAAAACGTATCACACAACAATGGTGTGTTAGTAACAATATACCATATTTTGATAAGCGGTAAAAGCAAAATGAAATGTTAAAATATCTTTGTTTTTTTTTTGTTTTGCAACAAATCAGTCGTTCTAATATTCTTAGAAAATATTAATTCGACCAATTCGGTCGATATTCAATAATAACAAACTAATATAAGCAAACGAACAAATTACATTGATGAAAAAAATTTAACACGACGCGTGTTGTCGGTTACATTGGTAATTATCACGCCCCGAAGCCCAATAATCTCGTGTTTACTATTCAAACAGCGCGAAATGGAATGTTGCTCGTAATTATTTATATTTTTCTGGCTTTTCATTGCCTTTTATCAGCAGAGGGGGCAATATAACGAGTGTTGACTTGGAAGATTCGCGCGCGAGGTTATCGACTGCCCGAGAATCGAACTGTTAATAAGTACCTTTCTCCGTCACTATTCGAGTTAAAATTGTCACCCTTATCAGGATGGTGTAGGTATATACCTGCCCTCTAGTTGTTGATGTGCCATCTGTCAAGGTCACCGGTAAACGAGCTATAAGTACCTGCAGTCTCGACCGACCGGCTTCATTCTACCCTATTCCTCCGCAACAGACAGTGGCTGCCTCGCTATATATTTGCTTCGACATGGACAACTCAAAGCCGACTATCAAGTACACGAAGGTTAGGCTTTTTTAAATATTCATAATTTGCTTTTGCCTGGGGTTTTTCTTGCTTTTTTGCATTAGGATAGCTCCCTCGCGAGTCAATACAGGTAGATTTTCATTTTCTTGTTATTTCACGTGAAGCCAGTCGTTTAACTAGGATAGAAGATCGTAGAGGCGTGGCATAAATGTGATCTACATGCATTTTTTTTTACGCTACAATTAATATTGTATTTACTATTTTTATTTGGTGTATCTTGTACATCGATGGTGTATCTCGTTATTAATCCTTTTAAATCTTACGGTTATTTTGAAAATCATTTACACACCAACTTAATATTAATAATTGGCAAACTAATTTTTTTTTCTCTTATAAGAACGTACATCCGTGAGAAACGGTGTCGGATGCAGTAAGTTGAAAAAAGCTTTACTTATTTCTTTTCACAATTACCTGTCTGTCTTCAATATGATATATATTATTTAAATAATATAATAAAACGTGTCGAATCACCGCACCTAACATAATCAAACTACTTGTAAATTACTAGAAAAATTGTGCCTTATATTTTTATTCGCAACAATACGAAATTTCATTGTTTTTAGTGATAAAAAATTGAGAATCATATCTAAATTTTATAAGTAAGCAGTAAAAACTTTGGTATATCTTTTAGACCAATCGCGTATCTCGTTATAATTCCTTTTCAATTTTGTAGTTATTTTGAAAATCATTTACATACCAGCTGAACTAATTTTTTTTCTTTTATAAGTACGTACACACGTGAGAAACGGTGTCAGATACACTAAGTTGAAAAAAGCTTTATTATTTCTCTTCAAAATTATCCGTTTGTCTTATACCCGATATAAATTATTTAAATAAAATAATAAAACATGTTAAATGACCGTACCTAACTTAGTTCAAGTACTATTCCAATCAATAGAAAAATAGTTTTGCATTTTTATTCACAACATTATTTCATTGTTTAGCGATTTAAAAAATAGATAATAGAAAATAGATAATTTCTAAATTTTATGAGCGGTAAAAAAATTAATCAAATTACAGTTGTTCATCGACAATGAATTCGTGGACTCGATCTCCGGCAAAAAGTTTCCAACCATCAATCCGGCAACTGGAACCGTCATAACTGAAGTATCCGAGGCAGATAAGGTACAGGAAAAAAAAATCCTATACCTCATGTTTACGGTCACGATATCGATTGCTTTACAGCACTCGTTAAATAATGTCGAATTTTTGTAGGCTGATGTCGATCTTGCTGTTAAAGCAGCAAGAAAAGCCTTCAAGCGCGATGCACCGTGGCGCATGATGGATGCCTCCAAGAGGGCCAAATTGATGCATAAAGTATACTTTTTTTTTTCTTTCATTTATACATACACACAAAACAATGCATCAAAGTGAAAAAAAATGACATCCATCAATCCTTAGCTGGCCGACTTGATGTTACGCGACATAGACTACTTGGCAGCCCTAGAAACTCTGGATAATGGAAAAACTTACAACAGCTCGAAGGGTGACATAATGGCCAGTATCGAGGTTCTTCGTTACTACGCCGGCTGGTGCGATAAAATCCACGGTGCCACCATTCCAACAAGTAATTGATTCGCTACGTACACATTTATAACCGAGCGTTATCTCATGTTTCTCAAAGTTTTTTGATTCTAAAACATATATTTTCCTCGAGCACGTAACTATAATTATCTCTTCTAAAATTGCTCTTCCTCGAAATTTTTCAGTAACGGTATATTTTTTTTTTAATTCGTCGAATGTATTAATCTTATCTGAATTTGACCACGTGTTATGTAAACACGACGATAACTTTATCAGCCGGCGTTTATTTTTAGTCCATGAATCGAAATCGATACTAGTTTTTCTCGTGGCAAGCCAGATGTATTATTTGTTATTTTTATCCGAAATTCATTGTAAACAAAAGTGGATGAATAATTAAATGCGCGATGTGCAGGCAATGGTTTATTCTCGATGACGCGCAAAGAGCCGGTCGGCGTAGTCGGCCAGATAATCCCCTGGAACTACCCGATAATGATGCTCGCCTGGAAGTGGGGCCCGGCCATGGCAACCGGCTGCACGATAGTCCTTAAGCCAGCCGAGCAGACTCCCCTCACGGCTCTTTACATTGGGTCTCTGGTCAAGGAGGCGGGCTTTCCTCCAGGCGTCGTCAACATCGTGACCGGCTACGGGATGACCGGAGCTGCCATTTCCGAGCACCTCGATGTCAACAAGGTCGCTTTCACGGGATCCACCGAGGTGAGGATTGTTCGTTAGATGTAGTATACTTGCCATCACTGGTACAATCAGCTGCTTTATTGTTCATCCGCAGGTTGGCCACCTTATCATGCAAGCGTCAGGAAAGTCCAATCTGAAGCGAGTCAGCCTCGAACTCGGAGGCAAGAGTCCCCTGATCGTTATGGACGATGTCGATGGTGAATGATCACTTTGAAAAATGCCACGAAATCGTCTAAACTCGATTGTTAATGTTACGTATGGTTATTGCAGTCAAGAAAGCAGCTGAAATCGCTCATAATGCTCTATTCGGCAATCACGGGCAGTGCTGCTGCGCGGGTTCGCGTACTTTCGTCCACGCCAAAATCTACGATGAGTTTTTGAAGGAGGCCAAGAAATTGGCCGAGAACAGAAAGGTTGGTGATCCATTTATGAAGGACACGATGCAGGGACCGCAGGTCGATGAAGAAATGTTCAACAAAATCATGGGGTTAATCGAGTCTGGAAAGAAGGAAGGAGCTACCTGCGTCACTGGTGGAAAGCGCGTTGGCACCACTGGATACTTCATTGCGGTATGTCGTCTTGTGATATTATTTGGTGTGATGTATTTTCAATGCGGGAAATCGATTGATTCTGTTTCTTTTTCATTAGCCTACTATTTTTGCCGACGTCCTTGACGACATGAGAATTGCCAAGGAGGAAATATTCGGACCGGTTCAGTCTATTATCAAGTTTAATACTTTGGAGGAGGTCATCGAGAGAGCAAACAATACGATTTATGGATTGGCAGCAGGAATCATAACTAAGGATATCGACATGGCTCTGGCCTTTTCCAAAGCTATCGAGGCTGGAAGTGTTTGGATAAATGGATACGATCTTATCACTCCACAAACACCTTTTGGAGGTTTCAAACAGTCAGGCATTGGCCGAGAATTGTAAGTAACAAAGTAATTGGAGTAACAAAGTTGGGCGATTTTACGAGAATGAGAAAGTAATTTTGTCATTTCTTTGTAGGGGTGAGGAAGGATTGCACGAGTACCTTGAAATGAAGACCATAAGTGTGCGCACAATCTCTCTTTAAAAGAAGTAACACGCAAGTGAGAATCTATAAAAATGTAATTAAAAAGCTTTAAAACAACCAAAATGTTATATACTTAACAAATATTAAATTTTTTAACCAAGTTTGTATTCATGGATTTTATATTTCAAATAATAAAAATGATGCTCTTTAAAATATGTTTCTATTAAAGTAAACCCAAATTTTTATTTTATTATTTTTGTCAATTTATAAAATAAATAACAATTGGCTCTGCAACAACAAAAAATCAATTTAAAAAATTCCATATACTTGAAACTTTATTCATGTTGAAGTATATTACATGACTCTTGAATTACCTATTCAATGAATTTTTAAGCATCATCAGGAGGTATTCCTAATTCTTCATCTGTATATTCACTGGGTTCTTTCAAAAAATGACCATTATGCATTCCCTAAAAAAAAATCATGTATCAAGTGTAAGGGTCTTACAGTATTCAATTATCTTCATAAGTTTGCATATAAATCTATAATGACAATGTGCAAGAAGGTAAGCAGAACAACGACAGTAATCAAAAAAATTATTTGATATTCTTAAATTCATGAAAAGTATCGAGGTGCATCAAGAGGTACAATAATAAAACGTTGTTTGAACGAGAAAAAAAATGTTAAAAACACTTACAAGAAGATGAGGCCAATCATGCCACAAATTCCAATAGAACCACCAGTAAGCAAGAACAGCAGTGGCAGTGGCACCTCTCTGTGCCCACTTAGGGGGTTCGGATACACTTCGATAATGCCATCTGAGAAAAACGCCAAAGTCACCAATTAATCAACCAATACATCAATCTAGAACAATTTCATCACCAATACTCCTGTGTACAAACATAGCACATAAACATAACCACAAAACATTACGTAATGATCTTGAAGGCGGAATTACTTACGCTGTCCCGGAGGACCATCGCTTCTGAAGGTGTGAGGCAGTAGGAGATCGGGTGAAGTTTTTTATAAGCCCGATCACCCTCAAGCCGGACATATTTCACATTCACTCGATCGACTCAGAAGCGAAAATTAATTTTGCTGATGCTTCGAAGCAGACGGCGTTGCAGCAGCTGGCCAGCTGACGACAGTCAGCAGCTACTGCCATCTTCCGGCGAAATTCGAGAACCCTGTAAGGTTCGTATACGGACTTTTTTTTGGTTCGGGCGTGATCGGGCTTCATCGGCGGCCTTCGCTCTTGAATGAATAATCTATATATATATATATCATCTCAGCGACTCAGCTAAGAATCAATCAGCGCCATCTAGCGGACGATTATTCTCGAGAAAACTCGTGGCTCAGATACCCTACGGACGTTTTTTTATTTCTAGTGACGAAGAAAAGCCCAACTCAAATTTTTCTATGTAAAATGTCATGCATAAATGTGAGTTATGCTTTTTTTCGTCCGCATGCATGTGGGGCTGAAATGTCTAAAAGTCACCGCTGATTGGCTCCACCATTTGCAGGGGGTCAAATTTCTCAGCGGACGAAAAAAAGCACAACTCAGATTTCTTAATGTTATTTGTATACGTAAAATCTGAGTTGAGCTTTTCTTCGTCATCCGAATAAATATACTTATGAGAGGTCGATTTTCGGGTAAAAGAAAAATTGTAAACTTGCCGCAAGTAGCACAAACAACGTTATCTTTTTTTTTTTATATTTATAAGATTAGTTGCGGCTGGTTTATAATTGATTACATGGCTCTACTATAAATAGTAATCATAATTTGGATCAGTGCCATCTAGCGTTGCGGATTTCTGAACTAAAAAGTGGCCCTAAACTTTTGAACAAGAGCTTTAGCGCTTAGAGCCATTTATCCTATTATAAACCAGCCGCAACTCATTTTGTAGCTATAAAATGAAAAAATAACGATACATGTGTTTTTGGCGGCAAGTTAACAATCTATTTTCTACCAAAAATTGGTTTCCTAAGTATTTCTATTTATGAAGATAAATTTTTGTGTAAAAGATAGATTGTTAACTTGCCGCCAAAAACACATGTATCGTTATTTTTTTATTTTATAGCTACAAAATGAGTTGCGGCTGGTTTATAATTGGCTAAATGTCTGTAAGCTTGATTGCTCTTGTTCAGAATTTTAGGGGCCACTTTTCGCCAAAAAATGAAGACCGCTAGATGGCGCTGATCCAAATAATTATTACTGCAACTTACAATAGAGCCAAGTAATTAATTATAAACCAGCCGCAACTGATCTTATATTTATAACATAAAAAGTTAATGTTAGTTATGCTGTTTGCGGCAAGTTTAATTTTTTTTTTACAGCATATTTATTAAGATTACGAAGAAAAGCTCAACTCATATTTCGCCTTGATAAATAACATTCCGAAATCTGAGTTGTGCTTTTTTTCGTCCGCCGAGAAATTTGACCCACTGCAAATAGTATAGCCAATCAGCGGTGACTTTTAGACATATTAGCCCCATGTTAATGTAGACGAAAAAAAGCATAACTCATATTTCAATGTGTTATTTTACATAGCAAAATCTGAGTTATGCTTTTCTTCGTCACTCGAAATAAAAAAACGTCCGTAGGGTATCTGAGCCACTTGTTTTCTCGAGAATAATCGTCCGCTAGATGGCGCTGATTGATTCTTAGCTGAGATTCATTCAAGAGCGAATCAGCGAGGGCTGCCGACGAATCCCGATCACGCCCGAACCAAACAAAATGGCTTTAAGCTTGATTGCTGATTCAGAATTTTATAGGAACTAAGTACTTTTTTCGAAAAAATGAAGACCGCTAAGTAGAAGGCGCTGATCCAAATAATGATTACTATTTATAGTAGAGCCGTGTAATCGATTATAAACCAGCCGCAACTAATATTATAGATAGAAGATAAAAATTTGACAATGTCTGTGCTGTTTGCGACAAGTATACAATTTATCTTTTACCCGAAAATCGACCTCCAAAAGCATAGATATTCTACTTATATGGTTTAATAAAATCGACCATATAGTACTACTAAGAAGCGATTACTATAATATGTTACACCGTGCTATCTTCACACATAGAGATAAGAATACGTAACTTGACCGCTGGCAGCATTTGTGGAACAGAATACTTACAGCCGAAAACGAAATAACAGCTAGGCTGTACTTAAGTAGATAAAATAGAAACCGTCTGCTTTGCAACTTAATTATTGTGTGCGCGCTTTCGTGCACTCGTAGACTCGTACCTCGTACCCTATGCGTTTTTATGCAGATGTCGTGTCCTGGCTTCCGTATATTAAATTTTTCTGACCCACATGAAAATCATCCATATATATTTTTGCCGAAACAAAAAAAGATTTTTATGTCCTCAAGATATTCGAAGACGTAATTATTATGCCCACTCTTTGTATCCCCCTTGAAATGTTTTCGAGAATGTTATGCCGATCGTTGCCAGGGCTACTCTGCTCTTCTGATCTTGACATCAGCTAAATGTGCTTTTAAAAAGAAAAAAAACAAAGAAATCAAGTGACACTGTGCACTCTGTGGAATACGATATTTTTGACAGACTGTGGGTTGCAACAATACAATTTTTTTTCTTTCCTTTTTTTTTTAACGATAAGAATGGCCGAAAAAGACGACAGTGCCTGGGTCTTCGATTCACTGGTGGGTTTCCTGCAAGGTCCCATTTGGTCAGCGCCACTGTTAACGTTTATCGAAGAGAAATCATTGAGTAACTATTTCACCAATTGTTTAATACATAAATTGTTTTTCATTTTCCCGATATATACACGATAGTTGGTATAAACAAAAAAATTTGTAACGATAGTTTTCGAGCCTGGAACAAAGGACTGCAAGGAGTACCGCGACTCGTATCAAGAGTACAAGAATTTAGTTGACCTGCTTCTCGGCTGTTACATGGAAGACATGGGGATCTCGACGGAGCAATTTGAACGAGCTTGCACTTTAAACAAGATCACGCGAGTTTCCTTGCAATTCCAGCAGGTAATGACGAAAAAAACGATAAATAAATTTTTTTTAAAGTCCCAAGTCACGTTGTGTCGCCACAATTTTCAGACCCTCTTCGAGCAGATCTGGGCGGCGAACGACTACGAGGTCTTCAAGCGCATGATGATCCAAAAAAATCTCGAACTTCAGCTGCAAGCTCTCAAGCTGTTGGAGCAAAAGTTCGGCCTCACGTCCAGTACCAGCGCCAACGACACGTCGGACGACAATAGCGAGAATTTAGACGACGATGAAGTGCCGATGGAAGAGCTTCTTCACGTTGAAACGTAGGCTCCGTACATAGGACAAGTTTTTCTTACTAATAGCACAGTACCTGCCAAAGATGACACATAAAAAAAAAAAAAAAAAAATCAATTGTGCCAAAGTCTGATTGTTGTAATAAAATGCTAACATTGTCGTTGTTTCCAACGATTTGATCTTTTTCCATTATTTAAATCCAGTAGCCAAGCGAGTATCGAAAAGGCAGACGTCGATGTGGACAATAGGGAAGAAGAATCGATGCGCCAAGAGCACGAGAGACTCGCCGCCGAGTACAGAAACGAGAGCAATCTGTTCAAGGAGGCGCTTCGAAAATCCACGGCAGACGACTCACCCATCCTCGAGGAGGACGAAGAAGCTGCCGAGCTTGTTGACGAACAAACGAGTCAGGAAGTCCTTGCAGGGTGTAAAATCCTACCGACCAGTAACGAAGGGTTTAACATCAAACCGGTGAGTTTTTCATGCGTTTGGATCCATGGAATTTATAAATTTGATCAAAGAAATAAAGGTGAAACATCTGGGTTTTTTTTTCTTTTGGACGATTATAAAGATTTTTTTATTAAGAAGGAAAAGAGATGTAACTCAATAGCATTGAGTGCAATAAAACTAATTTCTTGAATCGGTCGACCTTGGAATTAAGAGTGAGAAAGGAAAATGAACCAACTCTTGCGTATATATTATATTATTTTTATACTTAGCCGTCTTATGACGCGTGTCGTGTCAATGTACAAATTTGCGCACAATTTTCTCTCTTCTCACATCACACGATTATAATATATGATACAAAGCTTCTTTATTAATTGATTATTGTTATTTCAATTAACTTTTTTGTTGATTTGTTTGTTTTTCGTACAAAAAAATTGACATGGTCAGTATACTTTTTTGTTTGGTTGTTTCTTTATACAGCCCCTTTGCTTTTATTCACCTACTTTTTATTTTTTTTATTTTTAGACAAACTTTAGTCAACTAAACAATAATAATCATAGAAAATCATCCACGTCTCTTGTATTTTATATATAATTATTTGTATTTTATTTTATTTTATTTTTTAATGTACGTCGCTCTTTTATTATTAACATTAATATCCCGCAGAAAAAAGAGGCGAACGAGGTGGATGTCCGCAAGCGGCAGCTGTACCTCAAGGCCCAGCGCGACAAGCTCGTGGCCCTGAAAAAACGCACTCGCAGCCGGAGACTCCAAGCAGCGGATAAAGCAGCAGCGACGGCAGCAGCTTCGGCCCGACCGAGTTCCGCGCGGGTATTCGCCGAGGCCACAGTCGAGGGCGATCTCAATAAGGCGCATCAGGCGACGATGACGGCGACGGTTGATCCGGCTGTTCTCCAAGTGCGTCGAGCTTTGGCGGCTCGATTGAAGGCCGAGGTTGTGCAAAAGTGAGCTTCGTCGCCAAACTTCGTTCTTAGTTTTATATTTAATACGTTATAATAGTATTCCTTGTAAAACTTTTACTTACAAATAATCTGATATTCTGATAATCTAACATAGAGACATTGGTAATTTAATCATCGGTAGAATAGATGGGTGGTGGTGGTGTTCGGTTCTGTGTATCTATATTTCCGTTATTTTCAATCATTTATTATGTTTATATTACCGTAGTAACAATTGGAAAAATAATAATGCCCTTGTTTGAATGTCCTGTGTAAGCGTGTGTTTGAATTTGAAAATGTATGTATATATTGATGCACGCAGGCGTATATTATATGTATAGCGTGTATGTGAAACTACGTATGAAATTTATTTATTTTTTGTAACATTTTTAGACCGCTGTTTTGGTTTTCAGTTTTATTTAATTAAATATTTCTCTCGTTTTTACAGCGCGTGTACTCCGATTGTGTCAGTGTTGTCACGCTTATGATTAAATTTACCATTTTATTATTATAAATCATAATTCAATACGCAACTTGAATAAAGCTGAGATTCATAGCAGAAAACTCGTATTCTTTTACAAAATTTGTTCATTTAATTGTCTCTCTCTCTCTCTCTCTTATTTTCGACAGTCGTAACATTTCGATCTTTAACAAGTCATAGGAACTACGGTATGCTTTATATTTTGTTAATTTAAGACTAATGTGTTTTATGCTAACGTTAAAGTATCGCGTTATTAAAAGCCGTTTTTTGCAGAAATTTTTTTTTTCAACTTTAAGTCAAACGAAGATTTGGTAAAATTAAAAATTTTTAATTAACACTGACGAGTTTTTCTTTTTTCGTATCTATGTGTGTATATGCAGGATAATTATTTAATGTTTAAATGAAGTGTTCTTAAAAAACTATTGATTGAGATAATCGTAATAAAAAGTAGTTGTCACGATAGAAAGTTTTCTGCTACAGATCGCTAAATGTATAAACATGTACGCCCCGTTATTCAGTAACTAATAGTTTATAACTCACTTTTATATCGCTGTATAATCGTTCTTTGTTAACACACATTTGCCACCACTTTGTAAAAAAGTGATTGGAAAAGAAAATTGCTATACTGCTACCCTTGGTATATATAAAGTATGGTTTTAAAATATAAGTATTGTACATTGGATTTGCGTGTCTAAAAATATTACGTCAATGCACTAGCTGAAAATTTTTCTTAAACAGTATGAATAGGTATATTGGCCTCAGCATCATACATTGTTTGTTTGCTTGTCTTGTTTTCTGTGCATGAAATACTTCGGAGTTGTTTTTTTAAACTTTTTCTACAAATTCATTATACAACATTTACACCATCTAGTTTACTTGCATTCATATTACATTCTCACCCGTTTTGCTCTCACCTTCTTTCTTTTATTAGCTCAAAAAGTTTATTTCAACGTCAAAGAACATTTGGAACGATGGTCGATGATGAGAGATTACTTATTCCTAAAGGACTTAGGAATCTCATATTTATAATATGTAGTGTATAATATACATAAAGCACATAACAATACTCAAGCGTCAAATTTTATAATTATCATTTTTATATATGTATATATAAAAAGAAATATAATGTCCGAAACAGTCCGCGTTTTATATAACTACACATTGAATTCATGTATATTATTTATAATAGCCATTCACAAACTACGCATTCAAAGTTCAATTATACGACTTGAACCTTATATTTATTTTAGTAAAGATTCGACAGGCTTTTACGCATAACTATTTATTTTTGCGTCTATTACACCCAGCATAACAATAGTCTTAATTTTTTTTCTTTTTTTTTCTTTTCTTTTTTTAGTAGGTTAAATTTACCACAGAGGTGAGAGCAAGGTGTTCGTCTTGAATTATAAAATACAATTTCAATTCACGTATATTCAAATTCAACTCTTATAAAGAATAAATCTCTGTATACTTTCATGTTACAATGGTCAGTTAAAATTTAAAAAAAAGTTCAATTCATTATTACATCAATTTCACAGTACTCTGTCCTTGGGTAGATACATTTTACAACTTTAGGAATTTTTCTCAAGTATAAAAATTCGCTAGATAATCATCTCAAATTTATGTGCAACGGTGTCAATATTTATAAAGTTAAGTACTCGCGTTAATATTATGCTGCCCACCTCTGCTTGTGACAACATATCAAACCGATCATCGCTATCGATTTGCACAAAAATTTGTCTTACATGTCACATGAGTTCATTGAAGATTCCTTCGATCATTTTGGTTCTGCACTAATCTGAAAACTTTAAAGCATGATGGTATCTCAGTAAAAGAGATATTTTTTATGGATTCGGAATATTAAAGGAATACGAAAGTTAACGAATACGAAAAATTTTATAATAGATATTTTAATGCATAAAATTATTTTACAATTCGCACAATAAATAATTAACATTGAAATTTTTTATAAAAGTCAATGGAAAATGTTAAAACTAATGTTACTATTATACATGTATGTTTATGACCTAAAGAAATTTTTCAATCAATAATTCATTAATAATAAATCCTTTAGGCCACGTAATACACGTTATACATCAAATATATACATATACGATGGTCTAGTGTAGGAGAAATTGTAAAATAATATTCGACGCATAAAATCATAACTTTCATATCCCTTTGAAAAAGAATTTTTGTTGAATTTTTGTTTTGCAACCATCTTTTATAAACTAATTCGTACATAGCATAGATAACATTACACTATCAAAACAATAAATAATTATTTTCGTGTAAAATCACGTAAGTGCTATACATTATTTCATATGAAACCTCCAGCTCCAGGGGTGTATTAAGATATCTACAATTTACAAATTTACGAATTTCAAGAAATACGAATTTAACCTTACAAAGTGGTCATGCTAAAACAATTTATGAATCGTTAAAAGAGTCAGTGCGATCATGATGACAATAAATAACTTGAATAGAAATTTTAAAAAAAAAAAAAGCTACTTTAAAAAATTTTAAGTCATTCGTTGTCACGTATTGTAAGGCCCCTGCAGATGGAAGACAAAAATGAGGAAATTTCCTCTGGATTTAATATACCCGAAATACATTGCCTTATTAAAAAAAAAAACGTTATCCGGACACATAACCTCACTGTCCGTGCCACACACTAAAAGACCACATGGTTTCGTAAGTGAGTGATCTACACGCCTTTCAAGTATATTAAAAAAAAAAATTTGTTTTATAGTAACAAACGGTTAATTATTACTTACGTTATTATAAAAGCAATCAGCATTCGATTAGAGAAGAACTGGAAAAGCACGTGTACAGGCGTAGTAGATCTTGCAAGATCCTTCAGATTCTGACACCGGCGTCGATATGACTCGTTCGTAACGACCACATGAATTTCGCAACGTACTGCGCGTCCACAGCCTACTGTGACTAGGGCATCAAGAAATGCTACTACAGCGCCACTGTGTGTGTTTAACAATGACCAGGGAATCAAGAAAATTTATCGATGTGATGCTTATCATTGAAATTATTGTNTTAAAAAATTTTAAGTCATTCGTTGTCACGTATTGTAAGGCCCCTGCAGATGGAAGACAAAAATGAGGAAATTTCCTCTGGAGAATCATTGAAAACCAAAATAAAGGAATGTTATCCAGAAGTTTACTTGTATGATCTCATAAGATATATTTATCGTATTATATTCCCTTGGTCCATCATTTGTCAAGCTTAAATCAGTAGTGTTGTTCAAGTCATTTGTAAACATGAGATCGCAGTTAAAAAATTTGACATTTTGGAAACTAAATTTTATGTTGAAGGAATTTCAATGCATTGCAACAGTGCATTTGTAAGTTTTGTGTGTACGTGTGTTTGTCAATTATTTTTTGTTTAACATCGTTTTACAATGGATGTTACAAATACATGGTTTTATTCAGCTGCACAAAGAAACAAATGTATTTCAAATACGTTTGTACTTAAAAAAAATAGTCATGTACTTTAAATACACTTGTACTTAAATACTGTATTTAAAATTTTTCTTAGTTACAATGACCATTGTAACCGGATTACTTATTTACTTTTATGCCTTTCACTTACAACTTCTAAATTCCTTTGAACACGCGTAGCGTATTGTAGTATTTATTAAAATACGTAAAGTGTTTGTATTTTATATTCTTAAAATTTAAATACAGTATTTTGCCCACCTTTAGTCACAGCACTCTTACTATTGACGGATTGTTTGCCTACTATGAGAGTCGCTGCCGCTTAGCCGTAGGAGTCAACTCTGATTCTTCTTCTTCATCTTCTTCATCCGAGTCACCTTCATAATCAACCAATCCCTGTTTGAAAGAAAATTTATTAGATGAATTTGCGTATATTTGATGAAATAAGTGTTTTGTTTATTGCATTTTGGTTTCCAATATTAAACAACACAATTAATTAAGTTACTATCTTATATTCTTTTCGTGTCAGATTATTTACTAAGTAAACATTAATAAATATTTTTAAGATGTTAATATATCTACAATAATAAGTTTTAAGAGCTTAAAATAATATTAAAGTGAAAATTGCAGATTATGAGATTTTATGAAAATTTAACGCGATATTGTATATAAACTTTTGTGAAATTTTTTAAGCTTCTTTTTGATTTCGCTCAACTTAACCTAAAAATAAGTTTATTACGTTAAATATAAAATTTTTGAACATAATCTAGAATAAGAAAGTAACACGAAAAAAATTATAAAAGGTATCATTATGAAAATTCCACACAATCCTAGAAATGGATGTTCTTGCAACAATATAAAAGCATCAACCAAGCATAATATTTATGTATCTATACAAACACATAAATCGACATACCTTTCTGAAAATATTAGTCCCAGTTTTGTCAACGGCATTGATAGTTGCGCAGGGATTCGTCACATCCGCGGTAACACCAATTACAGGCAAGTCGTTCGTCGACACTGGGCTGCCACCACCACTGTTGATCTGTGTCTGCTGCTGTTGTGCCATAATGGCGGATATGGGTGCCACAGCGGGTGCTGTTGCCGGCGTAACAGCTGCGATTGTCAAGTTTGGCATGCTACTATTTACATCGGCTGTAGCTTGTAGCTGCTGTGAATTTGGCGAAAGCACCTGCTGTGATGTCGGACTGTTTGGATCTTTGTTAATAGTCGCTGAATCAAGCGGAAGGCTGCTGGAGTTTGGACTGCCAGTCGAGTTGTTGGGCGAATTTGGCTGCTTTTTCGCCGCACTCGGAGACACAATTTCAGCTGCCGCACCCGGCACAACAGCCTCGCTGTCATCAAAGTCTTCCTCTTCGTTGAACCACATTTCTTCCTCTTCCTCGAGTTGTCGCTGGTCGCGTCGATACCGGCTGTTTCTCAATATCGATGGTACACTAGAATTCATAAAAAAATACAATTTAATTTCAAACTTTTACTCATCATTAACGTACATTATCGGAAAAAGTACTTTACCTGTCGAGCGTTCCTCTGTCGCGATCTTTTAATTTATCTTGGTGTTGTTCGTACCTCTGTTTGAGAGCCTTAAACGTCTGGACGTAATCAATTGCTTCTAGTTCTTTTGAGTAATTTTCCACGACATGCGAACACAGAGATTTGATGTCTTCCAATTTTATGAATTCAAACATCTCAAGAATGGCAGAATCGAGAAGGTTGTAGCGTCCATTGTTTCGCGCGAAGGCATCAAAAACAGGTGCAAAGAGATTGCCCTTGATGATGTATCTGTTGTAAAACTCATCTTTAAGAGCAATAATTTTGCGCATAAACCTTAGCGCGCAAAGGACAAGGAAAGTGTGGGTCGACTTCATTAGTACGAGAATTTTCCTAAGCAAGTCCTTGTTTAAAATACAATTCTTGATGTGATACGTGTGATGCTCGACACAAAACGAAAGCAATTCGAGAATGATTGCAAGCAGCGTAATCGTCCGGTAGTCTTCGCGCACCGGCTGATCGCCGATTGTGTTTGCCAATAGAGGTGCAATCAGGATACCAATGCTGCTTTTGTAGAAAAAGTTTAAAAAGTCAGCTTTTTCTGACTTGTTTACTGTAGCTATCATATTCTCTGGGTCAAGCAGCATACGCAATACACCGGATAATTGTATAGCACCACCTGAAATGTTGCAATTACAAGATTAGAAAAAAACAAAAAATTAACTAAAAATTGTAATACACAAATAAGACATGCAAATATCTACCTAGTTCAGAATCGGTGTCGTTGATGAGTTGAGCTATCACTACATTGACAAGCATTTGATCGTGCGGCATCTGGCTGTTGGCTTGCTGAATCGCATAATCTCTGACGACGCTCGGCGAATACTCAACAATGTAGTTCAAAATATCAATGCTGGCATTTTTTGTCTGGGAGTCGTTGATACCGAGGGTGATCTCGAGTGCCGAAAGAATCCCTAGAGCTGTTAGCGTCTTGTAAAAAGCTTCTTTGCCTTGTGGCTGGAGATTTTGCGAGAAGTTGCAAAACTCTTTGAGAAAGAGCACCAGATCGCGTCGTTTACTGTCAGGCGTGTTCTCATCCGTCAACTGGCGGAACAGTTCTGTGAGGAATTTTTCATCATCCTGTATCAAAGTGACGATCTCGACCTTGTTGAAGAAGATGAAGCTGCTGAGAGTCGTAAGCATGTTATCCTCGAATACACTCGGGGCTGGTAGCACACAGTCCTGAATGTACTGGACACGATATGTTTGATGAATTTTGGCGAGCAGCTCAGCATTCGTGATCGGGATGACCTGTTTGAACTTGGCAAGCTGTTGCAGATACAACCTGTGTTTTTTAGGCTGTGGCAGGCTAGGCTCGTATTCAAGGCAACCCACAACATCGAAGATGGTATCGTCACTGAACATCACCTCGAACAGTGCATTTTTATTGAGAAGAAATATATTTTTAAAAATATCGTACAGGTGGTGAAGCCCATCCATATTGCCCAAGTCTTCGCACGTGTGAAATAGATTGAGCAGCTTTTTAATATAGCCCTCCTGCTCGATGGCCATAGCGAGCTTCTCCTTGCGCATCGGCGTCGAGAGGCATTGTCCTATGGTTTCGCTTATCTCTTCGAGGCGGCCGAGCTCGCAGGGAGGCAATTCGATGGGCGGCGCAGAGTCCGACATCTCGTCAAAGCGCTCATCCTCGGATTCTTCAACGATATCTTGGGTAATTTCTACAGATGGATCTTTCCCCTGCACTTGACATATTTTTTCCCATATTTCGTCGCAACCGGCTTTTTCTTGAAAACTTAGAGCTAAATCATAATTATCACTTTCTGACCACACAATTAAAGTGTCCTAAAAAATAAAAAAATATGCATTATTCATTGTTTTATCAAAATTGTATACTTAAAAAATTATTTTCCAATGGTGATTATAAATTTTCGTATAATTCTTACTCTTTTGTATGGTTACGTACATCTATGACACGTTCAGAAACTCGTAATAATTGCATTCATATAAAATAATATAATTTTATGTCAACCAATAAATCAAAATGTTTATATTTCCCAGCCTAACAAAAACCATTACATTTGCCTTCGAGAACAAAAAATTTCGTTTATTGAAAATATAACCAAAAACTATACTTCCAAAAATAATTGATAAATGAGTACTGAAATATAACTTACCAAATTCTCGGTTGACAAGAATACAAAAAGAAAAATAGTTCTACGAAATCATCTAATCCGATAAACGATTATAAATCGTCAATTAATTCACTAAATCTTTAGATAATTTAATAACAAGTTTACAAAAATAAGTGTTTTTCATAAGGGCAGAGACTATCAAATAAGATTCTTATCTTTGAAAAAGTAGGGTGAACTTAAATTTTTAATTCCTTATTTTTTAAGTGCAAAAGTAACGTGAGGATTACCTGTTGTTTTTGATAGGCAGTATCTGGCTGGATTTTACTTTCCAACAGTATAGTTCCATCACTTTCAGCCCTGACCAACAGAGAAGTCCCCTTTAACCTCTCGACATAAGAAGAGGACACATGTCCTGTCCCACGATCATCCCACTGTCTGTCTGCATTTAAAGCGTACAACTTAACTCTTCTTCGTGTGTCTGTCATGATGTTAAACTAATTTTGCCACATAAAATTGTAAAATTATCACCAAACTACTGGCATTCCTCTTTGAGTATCAATCAACACAAAGTTCGTCAATTATTACTCAACTAAAAATGAAATAATACTTTAGCAGAAAGCAAAATCAATTTATCCCCTTTAAGATGACTTATAAAAAACTCTCTGCATCACACATGCATGTCCTAATGTCTTTTGAGAGGACAACTTTTCACGCGGTATACTTATGTGTATGTATATATATTCTTCAGCTTGCTATCAACCTTATAAAACACATATTCATGCAAATCGTCCGATGATCGTCCATCTGTAGAGCACGCACGCGTACGCACACACAAAATAACACACTTTGCACGGCAATTTCTGGTTGAGAAGTGATCCGAAAGTATACGTTATCCTATGATGCAAGGGCGACGATTGGTAGTACAGAAGCAGCAGCAAAATCAGCCTCGTTACAAATATACATATGGTAAGCAACCTGCTCCTCGTCGATGATGTTCATAAAAATACTAAGGCCTGATCATAATTCAAGGTTATACACCGCCAACCATCCTCTTTTCATACACATACGCTTCAGTCAAGTAGCTCTCCTACTCTACACTAGGTACTTGGTAGTTGGTAGGTAGGTAGACAATATAGTAATGGTTATGTGCGTGTGCTACAGTTCGCGCGTACGCCACACTATACTGGGCGGCCTGGGTGCGATGCCGATGTCCCTTCGGCAGATTGGCATCAGAAGAAGATGAACACAAGACGAAGCAGAGTTCAAAGAGAGAATTCGTGGCTACGTTGTATACACAATTAGGCTGCTCTGCTGACGACTCCAAAACTTTTTTGTATAGTACTTATGCGCCTACTCTTCCTCTCGGAGCCTCTCTGTATAATAAATAATCAGCTGAGAGTGTGTAAATACGTGGTGCACTAATTTGGATTATATACGTGCAGATTCGAGCGGAGATAGAGAACAAGACACCCTTTCTCTCTCTTTCGGCAAGCACCAAGTATATAATAAAATATATGCACAACGACGACGAAGCCGAGAAGATGATTTTTCAAGTATATGTATACTACATGTATTATATATATGAAACCCGTATATAGGTGTGTAGGTCTATTCCATCTATTTATATACACAAATACGTATACATATGTGTATTTGTTTACACTCGGGAAATGTTTACACGTTTTTACAAATGCAGCAGAGTTGCATAAACCCGCGCTCTTCTATCGGACGGACGAAAGAGCCGAGACACACGCCAAGCTGTGTATGTACACTCCGCTGCTGTGGCTACAGTCGTCGTAATCGTCTTCTCTTTTAGTGATGTCCCCTTCTTTCTTGTTTTCCACCTTTTTTTTTTTCCTCTCTTTCAAGAAAACTGATCTTAGCTGCAGGCTTATTTTCTCTGCAGCTGCAGATTCTGCGGCGGCTGGCGCGGGAAAACGAGCTCTTCTCCCTGTATAAACGTATACAATAACTTATGTGTATACATAAGTGCGCGTGTACTTTGCTTACTGCTCGTGCTTTATTCAGTTATTCACTGCAACAACACAGCGACCACGTTACACACACCCACACACACACGCGCGGCGCTGCACACCACTTGAAGTAGATCGATTTATTTATCCGATTATCATATTATCAAATTCTGGAAAGTAATCTGCCGGTCGCCTTTTCTCCTCGTAGATGACACAAACGACCAAGATGACGCGTCCGCACGATTCGTGTATATAGGTATACAGGTCAATTGACTTTCTCTTTACCATGCATGTATCCTCGAGCGCGTCTGCGCGCACGCTCTTCTCTTCTCATACACATGCATGCATGCACGGTGTCCTCGCGCGCGCTGGCCTCTTTCTCCCCCCTGCGCTGCTGCTGCAGTCCTCCTCCGCTAATGTCTGGAACGGTGGAAGTGGCGAATACTTATTACCTACCAAAGAATACATACCGATATTCTCTGCGTATGCACACAAAAATATTCATTGCAGTTCAACTTATACTTAATTCTGCTAATTTTCTCTTTTTTTTATGTCACATACTTACTTACCTATTTCTATTTACATGGGAAAAATAACATATTAGTTCAGGCACACTATTTAAATTCACATATTGAATATTACCTTAATAGTTTTTTGTAATATTTCATCTACTACTTTTATGTTAATTTATAATTTTATTTTATACTGATAACAGAGTAAATTTTACTAATTCATTCGACCTAACATTGTATAGAAGCTTAACATGTTTTGTGATAGAGAATTGTAAGTAACAGAAATGTATGTATTACTTGTATTTCTGTACAAAATATACCATATTATTGCTAATACGAGAGCCTTAATTTAATTAGCTCTTTAATTTAATTGAATAAAAAAACTAATTTAATTCAACTTCTTAGGTACTTGTTTTGCCTTTATTCTTCTCTGTTGTTGCATTGATGCGCACACCTTCCTTTATTCTTACTTAATTAAGTAGGTACTTATTGTGCACATACTTAGTTTTGATTTAACTTATCTTTTATTCTATTGATCAATTGATGTGGCATATCATTCAGTATCACATGGAGCTTATGACAAAGTATTGTGTATTTTATCAACTCTATATTAACAACTCATCGGTCTAATCACCTTTCCCCGTGGTGGCTGCCTATTGTTCTAAGCCGGTCGCTAAATATTTAGTGATGCTGTGGTGTGCAACTAGACCGGTCCACGTCCTCACACAGTCTACCGCATCACCGTGTGCCAAATAAGCCACTCTTTCATTTGATTCTTTTCTCCCTAGCTCCTATCATCGCATGATCCCGTCTCTGTATTTACTTAAGTATTCCATCAATTCCATGCAGAAGTTCACAATAACACACGCAGTCCAATTTTTTAAAACCATATTAGTAATAATGGTAATATGTCTCGCAGCATGTTGTAGGAATTAGAAAACGCAGTACCTATGTTGTAGGTGTATTTTGGGGTGTTTCGTCTGCTGAACTTTAAAGTGTTCCTTCGTACCTCTAAATGAGTGAGAATACCTCTATACTTATCACTCAGAATGAAAAATTAATTGCTTGCTTGTCCGAGATGGGAGAAGTTTATCTAAAGTGTGTATATATTTACAATATACAGATTAAATTTGATGTTAAGGGTGAACTACGTGCGCTGTCTCCCGCGTCCGCTCGCCAACCACAACACACCTCCACCCTCCACTCGCGACCCGCCATATTTTATTCTATATCACATATGATGTGTTAGAAGCTTCAAAAATATAGATAAAATTAAAAAGTACTAAAAAAATTTTAGAGTAGATCTACGTACGTACATACATAATAGCCAACCAACAATTAAGGTTGACTTGATTGAAAATAAACCGTTAAGTTGAATACATTCAAGCAATTTGGAACATATGTTTTCAATGGTTTTTCAATTGTCAGTTTTTATCATGTATTTAAAATTATTAATTATTAACAAAATACTTGTAAATAATTAATTTATTAAAATTTGTTATTTATTTACATTTTTTTTCTTTAAATTATACAACAAACTTATTTCCTATGCTTACTTACATATTTCACTGATAGAAACACTCACTCAGGCTAAATACTAAACAAATTTTTTTTTTCGAAAATATCTGTACAGTAATTTGCTGTTTTTGTCAATAATAGATACTTTAAAGCAAACAACAGAATCTTTAACGTCTTATAAAATATCAAACGAGAAAATAAAAATGTTTTAAATATCAAACAAAACATAGTATACTATTTTTTTGCTCATTTATGATTTGTGAGAAAAAATTACGCAGTATACTATATTTTTCGATATTTAATAAAAGTACTGTTAAAGTTTATTGAAAAACAATTTGATTGCAAAAAAGATTTCGATATTAATTTCATCATCTATTTTATAATTAATAAAATTAATCGTTATTTAAAAAAAAAAAAAAATTTAATCCATTTTTCAAACTAAAAATATTATTCAATTTCATTCATAACGTTACTTATCTTAAAGAATATTTTGACCTTCCTGAGTTCAAAATATGAATCTTAATTCCTTCTGGATCATTATCCTTCACTAACGTTCATTGGTCAAAGTTTTGTTTGTAACCCTCAGCAAGCAAAGCTTAGGTCAAGCCAAACGACTAATCAAGTTTTTTCACATGACACTCTCACAAATTATATCACACATTGAGAGGCTGCGCTATCCAGCATCTATTTTATCAACATATTCAGTTTTTCAAATCTAGTAAGTAAAGTATACTGTAATTTTTAAAAAATTTCAGTCATTTTACGATCTTTAAAGCATCGGCAATCGTTTAAGAGAGATCGTTTTATTGTTGAATTTTAAAGAAGGTAACTATTTGTTTCAACATTTCAGTTACTTTTAATGTAAATTTATCTGTGATACTTCCACTCCATGGAAATACTTTATATCTGATAGAAAGAACCAATATTTAAGGTAGAACAGGTATAGAAATTTGTGTTATCATTTGAAAAATTTTTGGAATTAAAATTGATAAAAATAATACCGACAGTATTTCGTCAATATTCGTTTAGTTTTGTAATCTTCTCCGCCTCAGCATTTCTTGATCGTTTGGTAACTCGTTTACCTGGGACGTCGAGGGCACGGGTTCGCTGATGTTATTTGTGTTTGGAGACGATGGTGCAGCTGCTGTCAAGGTCACGGCTACGTCATCGGTCGGTGTATTAGTAACAGTCTTTTGAATAGAATTTTGCGCTTTGTCTACATTTGTTGGCTTAGAATTGTCTGTGGTGTTTGCGTTCGTACTCGCGTCATCGTTGGAACTCGATGCTTCAGGGCTTTCTTCCGCCTTTGCACTCGTCGATGATTGAGAACTTTCATCCGTCGCACTTTTTGTAGGTGAGACACTAATGCTGAAATAGTTTGATATATTTTTTTTTTATCTAGTTCAAGTAAAAAGTCAAGAGGAACTATTAAATTAAACATCGTTGAAGTACTTATTTGACGTTTAATTTTTGTTTTCTACTTACCCTGTAGTAACCGCAGCAGTTTGATACTGGCCCATCATTGCTATAGCCGCATCCATAAGTAAATAAACCCTCCTTAGCGTCTCGATTCTATGTTCAACTGCTTGTCGCATATCACCTTCCATTTGCCTTAATTCTTCTTCACTCAATGCTGATAAATTAAGTGGTGGCAAGGGTACCGGTGGCATGGGTATGATCGTTTGAAAAGTCGAAGGAGAAAATACTGGGAAACCACCGACCGTACCAAGAGGAGGATCTGCAGAGCTGTCACTACTGCTTGTGCCTGGTTGTTGCTGCTGTGGTTGCGACGATGAGCCTTGAGATGCTGCTTGTGAGGTGCGTATTGGGGGTGGTGCCGGAAAATTCGCCCAGAATGGTGGCAATTGGAAAGGTGGAGCAGCTTCTGATTAAAAGATGATGTTTTATAAAGAAATTCTTGATAACTTATTCATGAAAAAAACGTTTCTGTAAAACTTACGTTGCTGATTTGGTCCAGGAGCAGGAGGAGGCTGTGGGGCCGGTTGCTGTACAGGTTGAGGTTGAGGTTGAGCTTGAATTTGTTGTCGCGTCGTTGATTGACTAGGTCTTAAAATATTCAACCTACATGTAGGACACGTTTGCTGACGTTGAAACCAAGACCTTAAGCAAGCCGTATGGAAAATGTGATTGCACGGTAACTTTTTGCTTGCGGAAACCATCTCCTCTCTGCAAAAGTTATTATATTAATAATAGTGGTAAAATAAGTTAGTAAAAAAAATATTTAAATATCAAAGATTTACCTGCAGATGATGCAAACATTATCAGCAGCAGCCAGTTCTTCCGGTGTCGCGTTAGGATACATGGTATTCATATTTCTAATAGCTCGTCTAGACATCACAATATCGTGGAAAGCTTTTTTAAAGTTTCTCATTGTGTAATACATGGGTCTGAAGGCAAATAGAGGTAGGGTAAATATTTTCATCATAATTCCAACAAATGCAAGATACAGCATAACCTGAAAAAAATTATTCTTTAAAATGTATTGGGCTTAACAATTCATGGACTGTGGAGGTTCCTCACCACATCATACAAATAAGAGAGATGATGGTTGACAAAAAAATTAATAAGTACTTTAATCCTCGAGTATTGTTTAAAATTCTCTTACCTTCAATAAACCAATTATCAACTCAGTATACAATAAAAATACAGGCTTATTATCCCAAGGGTTATCCCTTTGCAAATCGATTGTATGAAGAATGTACTTGATGTTAATATTCAAAACAACGGTAAGCAGCAAAGCATATTCAAAACCAAATACAAGTTGTACAGAAGGTCCTTTTGAGAGTGTTGATGTGTAAGCATAATTGAACATAGCCAAGTTTATTGAAAACAGTAGTGCTAACAACGTGCCTATTCTCAAGTGGAATAGCCATGTTATCACTGGACTCCTTTCCATCTGTGAAAATACATTAATAAAATTAATAATGATCAACTAATGAGCTAGCTGTCCGGTAAATGTATTTATAAGAATACTTACATAGTCAACTCTGTCTTCAGCTAGCCAGTGAAATGATTTTAAAAATAGTAATAACGTAAACAATGCAATAAATTTTGGACTAAAGTCATCTCTAAAGACTGTGAATGCCAAGCACGTTTCTGTCACGGCATACCAGAGTTTTTCCATCAAGTGCTATTGGAAAAAAAAATTCAAGAATGTTAAAAAAATGAATTCAAGAAAAAGAACTTATTTGGTTATTAAATGCAGTAACGTGAAATTTTACTTCAAATTCTGCAGCTCTTAGATTTCCAAAGAAAATTTTCCTCAATAGAGAATTTGCCATCAAAACAAGTATGAGACCTTGAACATATATGACCTGAAAAAAAGTAATTGAAAATGTATTACAATGGCTCTCATTGTTTACTTTACATGTAATATTTATAAATACCGTAAACAATAAATAAAAAGTAGAAAAACAAATTCAAATAACCGAGACTAAAAATTGTAATGTATAAGTGCAAATGAGATGTTAATTGATGCTATTCCTTCTGTGCATATTTCTCTGCAGTACCTTAATTTTAATTTATAATCCATCAGGCAAGAATAAAACAAAAGTAAAATTCTAAATGTTTGATTAGCAGATAGAAAAATGTAAATCTTACAGCAACATGATCAACTACAAAGTTATTTTTAAAGTTGTGTTTCCATCGAAAAACCTGAGCAGCAAATGGGTACATATCCTCTCAGGCAAAGAAAGAGGAACACAGTAAACGATTTGCAAAAGGTGTTAAAAGCCATACTCACGGCCATACTAGGATTCGACTTGGTTATATAGACCACCGACGGATAGAACTGCTTCTTCTGATAGTAGGCATTGCCGATAACGGCGCACGTAAGTGCGACGCTGATCAACGCAATGCCCGCGGCCCTCATCTTCGCCCTGGGTTCTAGTTCCGACACTTTTGCGAGTTAAAAGAAGAGCTTGGTGCTCTTCTAACGTTGTTTCCAGGATTTTTCTCCTCCCAATCGTTCGTCCGTCAACACACCTCAATCTTGCTACTCCAAAAGAAGGAGTAAGTACTATGTGCTTTGTCCTCGTGCTTGTGTCGTCCCCTCCTTTATCGGATAGGTGGATAGTAATAGATAGGTATTTTGAGAGATGATAAGTTATAGGTACCAACTACAAATTGATGTACACAACGTTGAACTTTTACTTCTTCTCTTCTGATGGTTGTAAGTATTGCAACTTTTCACTCTCTCTTCCGTCCGTCACCTTAACACCAATGAGCTTTAGAAGCTCCTGATGTCCATGACTCCACGTGTATAAATTTTCGTTGTCCAGTAAAAAATGCTAAACACACTTTTTCGTAAGGTAAATTAGTAAAGTGTATGGGATACGTGTACTTATGGTATAGCTCCGCGGTTGCGAGCTGACGATGCGGGTGATGCAAAATAAAGCATCAGCCAACGAGCCAACCAGCCAGCGAACGACAGACGAATTTTGTGTGGCGCTGCGCCTGTCACGGCGTTCCGCGTAACTAACGAGAACATACGTGTCCCGTACACTGTCTCCCTCCAATGAAATTTTTTTTTTTTTTTTTTTATCTAATTACCGCTCCTCCTCCACTGTCTCTCTCCACCAACGCGCTACGCGCTTACAACAAACATGTATATGTTTGCCGCATCATTTTATATGTCACATGTATAAATATGTAGGTCTTTGGCGGCAGAGCAGCTGTTGTTATTTATTGCCGATTCGATCGGCCGAGAAGAAACAGCCAGAGGCATGGCACACACCCACTTTCTCGCACACAAATTACACAATACTTTCGCTCTTTTTTTTTCTCATTGACGCAAGTGATCTTGAACTACAGTATACGTGACCCAGCGCTGCATTTTCAAGCTCGATTTTTATTTATAACTAATTCTATCTCTTTTTTTTCTATTCAAAGGGATTGATTTGTCATCACTTTACCCAATATTTTATGTGCTATTGTAAATACTTATAATATACAAAAACACGCATATAGGCAACAACAACAGCTGAGAAACGGACAGGAGGTGGTACGTGATTAGTCCCCCCCCCTTTCACCGGGTTGGGCGCTTTTTTATATTCATTTTGGTTCGTATATAAAAGCGCTGACAACAGAGCTTTTTTAAATGGACTTCTTTTGTTGAGCAGTTGACATTCGTTTTTTTTTTTTTTTTTTTTTTTTCCTCAACCAGTTTCAATTAAAAGGGGATGATATACCGTTACATTGTGTACGTAGACCTTGTTTTGTTTTTCAATTGTTTTTCGGGAGTAGTGTGTGTGCCACCTACGCATGGACCATTCAGCAGTATGTATGTACCGTTAATTTGCTGTTTTTTTGGTGTTGTATTGATAATAAAAATGAGACCAATAACAGAAAATAGTTGAATTAATTTTTGTGAGTATGTTTCGAAACTTTTTTTTTTTTTTTTTTCATAACGATACGTACGTTCTATTTTGGATAATTTGATTTGCGTGCAGATGCCCACAGAGCCGCGCTCCTTGAGCGTGCGGGAAATGGAATTGATAAAAAAAAAGGATTTCATGATGTCGCCGTACAAGTCGGAAAGGGACAAGGTCATTAAAATCCACCGATGGAACGTAAGGGTATTTTTCAAACTGTTGGGTAAGTAACAACGAAAAGATTATTCAAACAAGAGACAAATGACCGACCGGTCACCCCTTGTTGATTTCTTTAACATTTTAATTTTTATTTTGCCGTTTCGTACAGACACTTTGGAAACGTTTTTCACAAAAGACAAATGCTGCCGACTGGCCGACAATTACTTGGTAGCCATGGTTTTCACTTACTTTTTACGAGGCTCGCTCGAAGCGGACGAGTACACAAGGGACAACTTTTTCGCGGCACTGTGAGCAAACGTGAATATATATTATCATGTTGGCAACCGCTCGTAGATGTAAAAAAATGAAATGTGCGTGAAAACGTTGCATTTAGGTTGCTCGCCTACAACATGGAAGAGGACGAGGGCGAGTTCTTGATGTTGGAGCTGGAAGAATGGCTCGAGTGCTCGATTCCAGATTTGAAACGGTTGCGCTCGGAGCTTTTCCAGCGTATCGAGTATCGCGGCGCGGTATCGCGCTTCTGCTGCGAAATTGTCATGAGACACGCCAAGCCCGAGCACAAGGTCTGGCAGAGGTGCCGGCACGTTTATCATTCGGGTGTTGTTAACGTCAAATCTTTTTTTATTGGACAGTGAGACACGCATTTACTTTGTATATTCCTAAACGTTGACCAATCAAATCGGTACGAGAATTTATTGATGAGATTGGTTGTTTCTTTTTATTTTCGTAGGTTTAAGGAGGAGGACATTTGTGGCATTTGCGAAGGAAAAAACGATTGTGAAAATTCATATTACGAGAGAGGAAAAGAAGAGGAAATAGAAACAGAAGAGGAAGAAAAAGAGAGTACATAACGCAATTTAGTATAAATAAAACGTTATTATTTATTATTCAAACGCGCTAAAATACATAATTATTAATTTACGACTAAAATCTCATTGTACATAAATGAAAAAAAAAAAAAACTTGATAAGCTATCGTTTTTAATAACTCAATGGCACTCTAGTTTACATGCCCACTTTAATTGTTAAAATAAGAATAAAAAAAGTTTTTCCAAAATATACACTCGTGTAAAAGGCGGTTTTTATAAAAACATTCAAGAGATTTATCCTAGTGCTTAAGTCAAGTAATTTCTATCACACGTTTTAATATTAAAAATTCATAAAAACTTAGTGTCTACTTATATGATTCGATTTCATAACGATTCTAGGACTCTGTCTTTTCGGCGTGATTGGCAATACGGCTTTCATTGGAGTTCGGCGCGAGCTTATTGTCAATCTTCTAGCCGATAAAGATTTGGCACTTTTTGGCGTTTTTACCGTCAATGGTTTTTTTATGTGTGGTGTCCTGCAAAGTGGACTCTCATTTGGTTGATAAAAGCTTACGTCTTTTGATTGTTTTGGATTTGGAATCGTTATATCTTGGTTTTCTTTGAAGATAACAGTTTCATCGTGGTTCATACGGGGAGAACTGAAGCGTGCTGACTGTCGACGAGATCCACTACTGATCGTTAGTTCCATTTTTATCAAGGGCGATTCCGTGTTTTGTGACCGTCGGTTTGCACTGTTGATGTTTTTTCTTCGAATAACAGCGTCACCAACATTGTTGACTCGTTTGTCTGTGAAATAGAAGCAATTTTAATGTGTTCTTATTTATATTGTTAAAATATTATTTTCAACTACAACATCAAACGGGTTATTACTTCGAGGTGTTCGCTGCTGTTCATTCTTCGCAGTAGCTTGGGCAGTAACTTGCACTTTTACGGATTGGCGTCGATTAACGTCAACAGCCTCCTTTTTTGGATCGTCAAAGAGCTTTGCTTTAGCAAGTACCATGCCCGCGTTTAGTGCTCGCAATTTCGCGACCGATGCTCGTCCAGTTGGTATTGGCGTCATCATTTTAACTTCCTGCTTGAAATACTTGTCCGCATCCTTCCAGGTCACGGTCTTTTCTCTCTTCGGCTCCGTGGACTTCATGATGCTTTGAAGATTTTCAGTACTCTCAGTACCCAAATTCTGGTGGCTGCTAGTCTTTTTTAGTTCTTTGATTTTATTGTTGTAATACTGAGAATTATCAATAAACTCGCCTTGGAAAGACGAAGCTCGTCGTATTATCGTTGAATTAATCGTTGGTTTGCCGCTAAAATCAAGTTGGAAAATTAATAATCTTAGTAAGATAATATTAAAAATCGCTTAAACTATACCTTGAAGTCGTTGATTTGGCAGAAGATGTAAATGTATCTTCATCAAGAGACGTAAAATCATCGTCGCTGAAAGAACCTTTCGTATGTTCAGCAGTGTGACTAATGAGAGCATTGAGTTGTTCCTGCAAGTAGTTTAACCGTGCGTTTGTCTCGTCGCTGCAAAACGAGGTTGGATGTGCGTGTTCGTTTTTCGGAGTCTGATCCAGACTCTTGTACGAGTCGCGCTTTACGAGAGGACGACCACGTTTTAGATTACACTGTTTAGGGTGGACATAAGTGTTATTAAGTCGTGAGTCAGCTTGCAGAGCATGGTTCTGAATAGGCGGCCTGTCATAGATATTCCAAGAGATAGCACGATGTACTTTTTTGCTGTAAAAAAAGTTTTAATGATTAAATATGTATATATATATATATATATATATAAANATAATAACATGACATATATATATTATCATTATTTAGTACCTTGGAGGTTTTTCTTGAGATCGTCTTCTCAAAGTTCCGATTTTCCGAGCACTTGGGGATCTGATTATCTTGTGCTCCGCAGATCTTCGTATTTTTAACTCTCTACTAAGTCTCTTAGCCAACTGATCTGTACTTGTGGTACTTTCAATACTGGCTTCCACCAAGGTCTTCTCGTACTCGCTCTGAACTTGATTTATTGTGTTGGCAGTCAGAGCTTCACTGTTTTGGTTATCTATACTCTTAAACTCTTGGGATATACATGATTCAATCGCCGACATTCGATTTTTGATTTCCTCGTACTCGCTCTTTGGTATTTTAACATATTCCTTGGATGTATTATTTACCACTTTGAAGGCATCGGATGTGTTGGGAGAAAAAGAGTTTCGTAAAGAGTAGGAGTGCGTAGGTATTCGCGACACGCTATTCCGTCTGAAAGGCTCTATTTTTGTTTCACCTCCAGAAATTTCTCTTAAAATTTCATCCGATAAGTTAACATCTGCGTTCATGGAGACTTCTTCCGAGGATTTGATTGTGTTCGAGTTTCGAACTTTAGTTTTTGGCGAGGACGAAAAGGGTGAGCCAATACTATGAGTTCGACGACGTTTTTGTTTGTGATCTAAAGTATTGCTCGTTCCGCTCCAACGTCTTACCGTGGACGGACTGAACGACTTTACATGAGACTCCGTGTCCCGCTCGCTAATTTTATGTTTGCCTTTCGGCACGAATCGGTCGAGGCTGAGTCTGAGTCTTTTTGGTCTTTCGATTTTTTCAGAAATTTTCCTACAATTAATTTATTAATTTAGTTTAAAATTTTTAGATTGAATCATGATTAACTTTAGATAATGTACTAGCTTAAAATCTTACGGTTCCAAAACTCTATTGGATGTATATTTTTGTATTCCATTTTTTTGATTTGGACTTTTTTCTTTTAAAGGGCTGTAAGAAATTTTTTTTTAAACAATTATTGCAAAACGTTCGCTTCATCTAAAATAAAAATAAAATACTGCAAGACCATGCGGAAACATACTTTGGATTGTTAGAAACTGGGGAAGAAAAATAGTATGTTTGACCAAAAGAGGGGCTGAGAGGCATAACTTCTAGACAAGTTTCTCTGTAATGAAAAGGATAAAATACCATCCAATAAAAGTAAAAACAGAACAAACTGTTATTATTGAATCATTTAACAAACATAAGAAAGCGTGATGTGGTTATTTAGCGAATCTTAAACGGTAGTTGAAATGTATAGATATCATTACATGAGATAAAATTATTTTTTACTAATGTCATGCACTGATATCCGAATCAAATTTTGCTCAAAAATATTATCATAAAAACCATGCTAGTTAATTACTGTTCATTCCAATACTACTTACTTTCTTTTGACGAGATCAGCATCAACTTTTTTTCTCTTCCCCAATTTAAGAGGAGTGTATACATGAAGAGCTGATTCTACTGGGAGAAGATTACTTTCTTGTGTATCGGCGTCCTCAGTAGTATTATTTTTTCCGACCATTTTTTTTAATCCACTTAACATTCCTAAATCATCAAAGGCATAGATTAGAGTTAGAACAAATTTTGTGAAAGCAGACGATTATTATTTGAAGTTTTCAATGTTTACTTGTAAGACTTCCACTTCTGTGTTTTTTCCTTTTACTTTTAAAAGAAGATGATATATCAGAGTGATCAAGCTCATTTTCTGTACTACCTGCAGTATCCATTGAAATCGCGTCTGATATATCATTTGGCAAAACCCCAATTTTTTCAGCATTTTCAATAAGAAGCTTAAAAAATTTGTTAATAATAAGCTTTTCATATGAAAATATTTAGAATATCTGTTTTGTTGAAACTAAATGTAGATATTTTTTTTTTACCTTGACAACCGTCAAATGTGCTTCTAATCTTGACTGCACTGCAATCATAGTAGTTTCTTGCAGCGGCATAACATTTGGCCCAACAACCCTGGCCAAGTTGTCAATGCTCATTTTATTTTGCTTCTCATAAGATGCAACAGTCTTTAAAAACTCCATAAGATACGCTAAAGAATTCAGATGATGCGGCGGTAAAATAATGCAAGCTAACAGAAGAGCCTCTACTTTATTTTTCTTGAGCAAATTGCATCTTACAAATAAGTCATGATAATTATAAGGTATCAATGGCTCTGGCAAATGTCTAAAAAACGTTTTCAGGCAATTGGCCACATCGATGGGATTATTTTTGTCCCCAAGACCTCCCCCATTATCAAGTCTAGCTATGATTTCCTTCTGCTTAATCTGAGAGCCAGCCTTTCTGAACAATCCCTCCTGACTGACGTGCTTGAGCAGAAACGCAGTAGCTTGACTGACAAACAGAGGCACATGAACAATACCTCCGGACGACAGATTGACCACGTCCAGAGGCAGGTAAGACAATGACGTTCTGAAGACCTTCTTCAAGGCACCGGAATTCAGGCGTTCGGGTTTTTCTGCCTTGACGCAGTTTTTCTTTATCCGGTACTTAACCCCCATCGTCCTGAGATTGCCCGAGACGATCTGGTAGACCTTCTCCTTGTGCAAAACATCGTAGATAAGCATTACCGCTGATTTGTCTGGCAAATGTTTCGAACTTATCACTACTCTTGATACACTTTTTCATTCGTGTATCCGACAAACAAACTTTGTCCGGTAGCACACGTCAGTGGCTCACGATTACACCCTATTCAAATGCACCATAGCACAAAACGATTCCCACAACAATTCTTGGAATTCGACGAACTGACGATCGATCACGATGCACCGTAAATATTTTATGATTGTTTAACACTAAAAATAATAACATGACATATCTTACTTTTAATATCATAAAATGCTACCACAGATCTAACAAGCAGGTGAGTGTTTGAAAATAAAAATTAAAAAAAAACATTCGCTCCTTAACAGAAGGCTTGCACCTGCTGTCTCTCTTGTAACTTGTAACCGCCAAATTTTTTAGGCTTCAGGCTAGTTGTGGAAACGCCGCATGGCGCTACTGTCTCGACCCGATTTAGACTAATATTAGACAAATTAGACTAGACATTTTATCTATTTTATCATTCAGGTAAAGAGAGCACGGTGTAACATATACGTGAAGTTACGGGGAGGTAGTTATAATAATCACTACTAAGTAGTGCCATGTATGGTCGATTTTATTAAACCATATAAGTAGAATATTTATATTTTTAGAGGTAGATTTTAGGATAAAAGATAAATTGTAAACTTGCCACAAACAGCACAGACGACGTCAATTTGTGATTTTATATCTATTACATTAGTTGCGGCTGGTTTATAATTGACTAAGTGGCTCTACTATAAATAGTAATCATAATTTGGATCAGCGCCATCTAGCGTTGCGGATTTCTGAACTAAAAAGTGGCCCTAAACTTTTGACTCGCAGCATTAGCGCTTAGAGCCATTTAGCCTATTATAAACCAGCCGCAACTCATTTTGTAGCTATAAAATGAAAAAATAACGATACATGTGTTTTTGGCGGCAATTTAACAATCGATCTTTTACTCAAAAATTTATCTTCAAAAGTATAAATACAAAGGACGTCAATTTTTTGGTAGAAAATAGATTGTTAACTTGCCGCCAAAAACACATGTATTGTTATTTTTTTATTTTATAGCTACAAAATGAGTTGCGGCTGGTTTATAATTGGCTAAATGGCTCTAAGCGCTAATGCTGCGAGTCAAAAGTTTAGGGCCACTTTTTAGTTCAGAAATCCGCAACGCTAGATGGCGCTGATCCAAATTATGATTACTATTTATAGTAGAGCCGTGTAATCAATTATAAACCAGCCGCAACTAATTTTATAGATATAAAAAGAAAATTTGACGTTGTTTGTGCTACTTGCGGCAAGTTTACAATTTTTCTTTTACCCGAAAATTGACCTCTCATAAGTATATTTATTCGGATGACGAAGAAAAGCTCAACTCAGATTTTACGTATACAAATAACATTAAGAAATCTGAGTTGTGCTTTTTTTCGTCCGCTGAGAAATTTGACCCCCTGCAAATGGTGGAGCCAATCAGCGGTGACTTTTAGACATTTCAGCCCCACATGCATGCGGACGAAAAAAAGCATAACTCATATTTATGCATGACATTTTACATAGAAAAATTTGAGTTGAGCTTTTCTTCGTCACTAGAAATAAAAAAACGTCCGTAGGGTTTCTGAGCCACGAGTTTTCTCGAGAATAATCGTCCGCTAGATGGCGCTGATTGATTCTTAGCTGCATATATATATGAGTATACACACACACATACGTAGTATGAAATGCATATATATATATGCTCTAGGTATGAAGCGAGATACCATTCTCTTCTTTTTTTTATTTGTCAACAAAAACTCCGAAATATCGTTGAAAATTGAGTCATATATCACTAAAATTTCGAAGTTTGTTTATACTTATCAGCAACTTACCGACAGTGTGCTTGGTCTGCTTTTCATGATTGTTGTTCCGCAAATGTTTCATAAAAAACATTCATGAGCTACTTATTTACTTTCCTTTAAAATGTTGAATATTAAATTTTTTTTTCTGTCCCGAGTTAAGGGCACCAATCACTTTGAGAAATAATTGATGAGCGGTAAAAATCGATAGCTTTATGAGTACGCGCCCTTGTCTTCTCTTTTCGTCCGGCAAATGGTAAAGGGGAAGAGGGGAAAGGGTTGCTGAATACCTATATATACTTATCTGTCAAAATTATTGCGTTTAGTCTGCTTGTACTGCTTGTAGTGCCTGCTATTGTCACCATATAGCGTCATGTATTGGCAATATTGTTTGTAATTGTGCAGTATGTGTTTCTATTACCTCTAACTTTTTATGTTGTATATTGATGTAAAACATAATTTTAATAAGAAAACAGTGGGTATGGAACAATTGCACATGATGTAGATGTGAGTAGTTGTACGATGGGCCCATCTTACAAGCATTAATAATAAACAACTTATCGAGAGTTGGTTTTCTGTACAATTTTTCAAGAAAAATGTAAGCCAAAGCTTGTAAAATAATGAGGCAATGGCGCCACCAAAAGACAAGTGGGTAAGACGATTCGTCATATCAGAGACAAATCGTCATAAAAAGGGTTTCACCATCTATAAGGTCACCTCGGTGGTGAGTGCGTACTTTTTCGTTTAGGTCCAAAGAATACACATATTCATTAGTACTCAATTTTAAATGATGTGTTTTCGTACTATTAAGTAAACAAATTTTTTTTTTTTCTTATTCACTGTCTTTATAACTAATTCCAGATGTTTTTAAAGATGTCGCCTGATATGATTTCCAAAGTTTCCGTTTGGAAAAGATACAGCGATTTCAAGAAACTATACAGTACAATGCAATCTATGCATTTTAGTAAAGAACTAGGTGAACCCTTCCCACCTTTCCCAAAGCCAAAATTTTTTGGAAGATTCGAAACTGAAGTGGTGGAGCAAAGAAGAGAATGTGCTCTGAGGTTTTTGGAGTTCATTGGACGTCACAGTGTTTTGTACACCAGCGACGTTTTTATCAAGTTTTTTGAAAAAGATTTGAACAAGAGGTTTCCAGATTGCTCGCCATCCTTGAGTTCTGATACATCGGAAGATGACAGAAATGTCAATTGCGAGAATGAAGAGTCGAGTTTTAGTAGTACAACTGACCTTCCAAAGTTCGTGTGTACCAAAAAGATGAAGCCAATTAAAGTTGGTAAGCAAAATAAAATTAAGTCGAACAAAGTTGATGGTAATTCACAGGAGCAGCATCATGTAGATAACAATAGTACATCAAAAAATAAATCTGAAGATAGTCCAGAGACGTCAAACGGCAGTGATAATTTTTTGAAAGATAAAACTTCTGCAAGTAAGCCCACATTGGTGATTCATGATGGATCAGATCTCACTCAATCTACCAATGATTGTGCCCAGTATATTTTAATTGCAGCAGCACATATGAGTGCTGCTTTTCGTCACGAGGCAATTGCTGAATATGAGGAAGCTTTTACCCAGTATAAACTTGGTATATCTCACCTTATGAACGGTGTTCAAAGTGAAGCAGATGAAGAAAAGAAAACAATGATTCACGAAAAAATTACAAAGTACTTGCAAAGAGCTGAAAGATTATACAACAGACATTTGAACTGTAATGTTTCGGCATTGTACAAACCCGTTGCAGAATTGAGAAATTACAAAGTCATTGAACTCATGGAAACAGTTATGTTAGTCCAAGATACACTCCAGGGATTTAAAAGAGTTATAAAGGTATTTGAAATTCAACACTTGCAAAGTCCTTTTAATAAAAGTTATACATTTTATATATTTTCAGACTGTAGAAAAATCAACTGATTGCGAAAAAGATATAAGCAGTTATATATTACGAGGAAAAGTACCTTATATGGTTCAGTTGTATTCTTGTATGCAAACTGATTCAACCGTTTTTTTAGTATTACAATACATGACGTAAATATTAAATAGTGATGGTAAAAGTAGCAATTTTTTAAAGTAATTAAATTTTTCAAATTCAACATTTTTTTTTGCAGAAAAGGAAAATTATGGGATTTTGTGAGAGCTAATTATAAACCGAATAGTAAGAGAGATAAATATAGCAAAAGAGGTCATTCCCGATCATTCAGCTGGGATTCTACAGTTCAAAATGATGCAGCAGGAAATAGACCAAAAATAACAATTACCAAGGAACACGTTGCCAAATCTTCAAGTTCTGGAGATAATCATTGCTTGAACCTTGCAAGTGATTTTGCGACTAGTGATACAACAGAACTAGTTAAAAATGCACAAAAATTACTGCAATCCGTGAATGCGACTTTGAAACGCAGTAACTCTATTGCAAGTAGATTAAACGAATCTGAAGACTTGCTATATGAACAAAATACGAACAAAGATATTGAAGACAGTATTATATCACACTTGGAGAGTGCTTTGAAAACCGATTCTCTATGTGTTGGAAGTAACGAAAATACGGATGACAGTGAAGATTTGAGCGAGCTTTCTGCCAGTGATAGTTGCACAGATTTAAATTTAGACAAAGAAGTCCACGTAAAAAGTAGCGATCAATCAAAAAACGATGAAAAAGCAGTAGACGATAGTTTGACGAAAATTAGTAATTTAAGTACTCTTAATTCATTTACGGATAGAAGTAGCGACAGGATCGAATCTCTTGGAACAAGCGGAGATGTATCTCCGTATAAAAAAGTAGACAATCAGTCTGTTGAAAAAGAAAAACAAAACTGGTCCATCCCAGAGTCTGTAATAAGGACGTGGGCCGCACAAATTCTCTTAGCCTTAGAGGCTCTGCATCAGCAAGATGTTATAGTCTCGGACTTGAGGCCGGACAATATTTTGATCGACGATTCTGGAAATGCGAGCATGGCCTACATCGTGCCACGCAATGAAAGCGAATTATTGCGCCTAAAAACACCGTACACTTCTCCTGAATTATGTATGTTTACACCACCTATCTCAATCACCACGTCCGCCGACGTTTGGAGTTTTGGAGTCTTATTGTATGAATTGCTAACTGGATTTGTAAGTTTAATCTTTATTCTTCAAGTTACAAGAAAATATTATATGCAGATAACACATTCTTGTCACTGCTTACTTACAAATATTTAATATAATTTCGCTATTAATTAAATATTTGCACTTTTTAGGATTTCCAAATAAAACACCCGGGACAGTTTCATTCACATTCCTTGATTAACATTCCAGAAGATTTGTCGGAAAATGCCAAGTCGCTGTTACTTAATGTAAAAATACGTTATGATTTAAATTTTAACGATGTTTATGTTCAACTAATAACTTGTCAAAATATTTTAGGTATTGAAGTACCAACCTAGCGATCGACTTTCAATTCCAGAAATAAAGCAGCATCAATTTTTTACAAAAATTAACTGGTTGGAGCTTTTGAATGCTCAAATATAATGTACTTTTCTTTTAAAAAGAAAAAAAGAATCTTCAAGTGTGAAACAAAAGAATGTATGCTATTTATATGTGAATGTTAACGTTAAAATTTTAACTCTACATATTAAAAAAATATTTATATTACATACTATGTACAGCCTGAATTACCAATCAAATACTCATGAAAAATACCATTTTTTTTTTAATTTTACTTGGATTTTGGTTTTTCAGTTCGAGTAATCGTCGACATACCATCGGAGAAGCGCGTCTTAAATAATACGTTCGCATTGTTGAACATACCGTTTTTCAACGACACGACGATAAACTGCGATCTTCTGAAATGTCTTTTTAACATAATACCAATGTTCTCGGTGTGCGAAAGATCGAGCGCTGCGTCGACTTCGTCCAAAATGTATAGAGGGGCAGGTTTGAACAGCAGCATAGCCAATATTAACGATAAAGCGACCAATGACCTTTGACCTCCAGACAATTCCCCGAGCGAGTCTTTCCAAACACCGCAAAGGGAAATTTTTACCTCCAAGCCCTCGAGGACTGTTTGGTTATCAGGTGGTTCTAACTTTGCATCAGCTCCTGGAAGTAGGTTACTGAATATAGAGCCAAAGTCCTTGTTAACTTTTTCCCAAGCTTCGAGCAACGTCATTTTCTTTTTTTCATCCAGCTTTTTGATGGAGTCCAAAATTTTTTTTCTATCAGTCTCCAATATTTTTTTCTTTTTACAAAGATCTGAGTGCTGTTCTTCTTCCTGGTTTAGATGATGCATTGCTCTGGTATTTACCGTTCTACTCAGTTTAGCGAGGAGCCCTTCCAACTCACGAGCTTTTTGTCCCATCTCTTCCGGATTTTTAGCTTCAAAATCATACACGCTTCCTAGAATTCGTTAAAAACAGATCATTAAAAATAAAGGAAAAAACTAAAAATGTTTAATAATAATCAGAGTGACGCATACCTCTCACACCAAAATGCTTTTGATCTTGTTCGATCCACTCGTATTTACGTAAATAGTCAGAAATTTTATTTTTACACTCGGTTGCGGTATTTTTGATGGCAGCAACTTCATGATTTAGTTTCTTGATTTCCAACTCAGCCTCTTGCGCCTGCTTCAAAATGTTTTCCTTTTTGTTATGTAATTTTTGGATTTCGATGTTGTGCTGGTGTATGGCGTCCTTTTTAGCTTTGACATTTGCTTGTAACTCCTTTACAACGTTGTTTGCCTGATCAAGATCGTTTTCCAGTGCATTTCCTTTTTCCTTGAGCATATTAAGCCTTTCTTCCGCTTTAGATAACTGCTCCTTTCCGTTTTCAATAGTTTTTTTCAGTTCTAACGTTTCCAAATTCAGAGTTTCCGATTCTTGCTCACGTTTCTGCCACTCCTTTCTACTTGCGTCAGATTTCTTTTTCAAAGAGTTCAACTTGTTCTCTGCGTCTTTCAACTGTTTTTCGCGAATTTTATCGGCATCCTTTAACTGAGTTTCCAGTTCTCGGGCTCGTTTTTGACTTGTTTTTTCCAACTCTTTGGAAGCCATCATTTTCTCGCTTAGTTCTTTGATTGAAGCCTCCAACATTTCAACCTAAAGTGATAACTTGTTAGTAAACGAACCTAAACTTTTCCTAAACTTTTCAATTAAAAAATAATTCATTACAGATTTACCTCTTGCTTCAATTGATGATGCGTAGTTTTTTGCAATCTCTGTGTAACTGTATCGAGCTCGTGTTTCTTAATATTATACTGCTGCTTTAGTGTATTAAACCTTTCTGCAGTTTTGTTTATATTAGCGATTTGCTGATTGATTTGGTTGAGACTCTGCTCTTTTTCGTTAATTTCAAACTGAGCTTCCTTTAGTTCGTCCAATTTCAGTAAAATGGATCCACCTTTTGCTGCTGAACCACCAGACAGTACTCCAGATGGGTCAAATACGTCGCCTTGCAGCGTGATGCATTTTTTCATGATGTTGTTGTGGTAGGCAACCTGTTTGGCAACATTCATGTCTTTGCAGATAAATACGTTGCCGAAAATCCACTCCATGGCTGGCCTTGTTTCTCGTGGAAAATCGATAAGAGATAAGGCAAGTTGGACATTTTGGGCGCCTACAAGTTTTTGTGCAAAATCAATGGTTCGCTGATCCATAACACGACCAGATACTTTGTTCAGTGGTACAATCGTTACACGTGATTGCAGTTGGCCATTTTTCAATATCTTTTTGCCTGTCGTTTCAGTGTCAACCATGACGTTATAAAGCTATAAAATTATTTTATCTTTTTTTTACTTTACAGTCGAAAAATTACTCTTAAATTGAGTCAATAACGATCAATACTTACTCGACCACCAGCTGCCATTTCCAAAGCATAAGCTGCTGTTCTATCTTTGACGGTGATTGATTTGCATATAAGACCTTTGACCGAATCCCTCCTAAAATTTGGTTCTGGATCTTTGTAGTAAAATCTCAACTGTGGATAATTGGACTCAAAATTGTCTACTTTATCGCTTAATCTTCTTATTTCCCTTATTAACGCCCCTTTTTGCTGTTCCAACGATTCCAAAGATCCTTCCTCGTAGTTCAATTTACTCAGTTCATTTTCAATATTTTTCAAATCTTTTTGCGTACTCTCAACCTTTTTATTATCGTTCCTGTATTCATTTTCAGTGCTCTGCATGTCGATTTTTTTCTTACTTAATTGTTGCCTGTTGTGTGTCAATGTCATTTCACACTGTTTTATTTCAGTCTGAGCTTGACTGTGATTTTGTTTGGCCGTTATAAGCTGCTGCTCCAAAGTGGCGTTACTACCATCGTCGCACAGCAATAAGCCTGAACTGATTTTTTGATAGTTTTCTTGAGCAGCAACAACAGCCTCTGCATCCACACGATCTTGTTCTTTTAACTTTTCAAACAACCCTCCGACTTTGTCTATTTCTTTTAATTTAGTTTCTAACAATTTTTCGTCATCGCAGATATTATTTTGCAGCTGTTTGATGCTGGTTTCAGCTGCTTTGATGTTTTCTTTGTTGCTGTTTACTTCAGCAGTAAACTTGTGTTCTTTCTTTTCTGCTTCTTTGAGTTTCTGTTCCAGTTCAGTCATTTTTTCATCTTGTTCCTTAAAAAATAGAATAATTTAATGTACAAGAAAAAAAAAGAAAACATTTCAACTGCAGAAGAAGTATCACCGTGATTTTCTAAACTAAATACTTACTGCGCTTCTTTTTGCCGTAATCTCAACAACTTTTGCTTCAATATTTTTAATTTCTTGCTCACCATCTTTCACATCATTTTGTATCCCCTCAATTTTTCGTTTTATCACTTGAACATCTTCGTTGGCTTTATCACTGCTGCGCAACGCATTTAAATATTTCCAAGCAACGTAAATCTTTTTACACTGTTCAAGCTCTCTAGAAACACGTTGATACTCCATAAATTGAGCTCGCTCTTGTTTTAGTTTTTCTATTTTAGGTCCCAATTCTTGTTTCAATATCTGAAAATTGCAGATGATTAGTTAATATGAAAAGTAAAATTGAAATCCATAAAAAATTTTAAGCTTACGTCATCTATTTCCTTTAGTTTGCCTTCTTTTTTCTCAATAAGTTTCAAGGATGCAGCCTTTTTGGTTTCATACATTTTGGTACCAGCAGCTTCTTCGACCATGGACAAAATCTCTGGTGGTTTCATGTTCAATACTTTTGTAATCCTACCTTGCATAATTAAAAAGTGTGGATTGTTGACATTGAGCTGTACGGAACAAAACATGTCTTGCACCCTTTTGTTTTGTACATTAGATCCATTGATCATGTACTTGTTTTTACCATCGATGACAACTTGTCTGGTAACTGTGATCTCCTCGTAATCTTCATATCCCATTGGAGATGCATCACGATTTCGGTTGTCAAAAACTATTGTAACACTGGCCTTTTTGATTCCTGCTTGACCAGATTTGTACACAAGTTCTTGTAGGGAATTCGCTCTTACCTGTCAAAGGATATAATAATTTAATCTAGTCGAATAAGGAGCTCAACACAAAAAATAATTACACATCAACATCAAAGTAAAAGAAAAGTTAAGCTATGTTATCCAAATCACCAAAGCTGAAAGTTAAAATTTTCTACCACAAAATAACCGAGACAATAATCGCCCTTGAAATGGAGCTTTAGAAATACCTGGCCCAAATTAGAGATGCCCAAAACGAAGCAAATTGCGTCGAGGATGTTGGATTTGCCGCTGCCGTTCAAGCCAGTGATGGCGTTAAATTCCCGATCAAAGCCATTGATCTCGATCCTCTTGCCGTAGGACTTGAAGCCCTCCAGCACCATCGATTTTATATACATCGCTGGGCTGTAATGATTTTTTTCTCCGCTGTGTCTATTCGCACCAAATCCACGTAATTACGTGGATATAAGGTTAGGAATTTTAAAGAAAAACGCTACTTTTTCAAATGAAGTATGTCCACGTAAAGTGAAGTTGAATAGACACAGCGTTTTTTCTCACTTTATCAATAAACAAAAACTCTCTTAACAATCATCTGCGTCAAAGTGATTACAATTTTTAACGACACTTGAAACGGTCGCCATTGCCTGCCATTGCAGCCCCCCGCGCGAGACAAAATGTGAAAAAGAGTTTGAATTTTCCTTTTATCCGATTGGCTCTTGGCTCATTTTGAGCGATACTAGCGCTTCAGTTGGAATGATGCCGAAGCAGCGTCACAAATATCGCGCCAAAAAATATATATATAACCACTGAACCTCCTCGTTTGCCAGGACGCCCAGGAACATGGCCAGTAATTACGAGTTTACGTAAAATTATCAAGAACGTGGTTGCAATTAAACTTGTATGGACAAAAGTTTTAACTCAATTTTAAAAAAGCAAAGGCAGAACGGGTACTTTTTTGCGTCAAGGAATCCATAGAATTGTTCTGTGCAAACTGAGCTCCTTACAATCATCGGAGAGATTTTTTGATTTGTTGGTGTAATTAATAATTTTTCATCATGGAAGGCTTTGACCGAGGGGATGTTTATTTCTCTGACAATTTCGCTGCCGAAGATGTTCAGGCTAATGCGGCGCAGAATCTCCAAGCTTACAAGAAAAAGTTCAAAGAGTTCTTTCGACAGTTTCAGGAAGGCAATTTCAATTACAAATACAGGTAACTAATTCTTAACACAGAGTTCCAATGATATTTCATGAAACTTGAATGCAAACTTTCATCGTTATTAATTTATTTCAGAGATACTCTCAAGAGAAACTATAATCAGAAACAGTACTGGGTTGAGGTCAATTTAGGAGATTTGGCTGCCTACGATGAGTCCTTGGAGGAAAAAATATCTAAGCAGCCGACCGAGTATCTGCCTGTTTTCGAGGAAGCAGCAAAAGAAGTTGCCGACGAGATTACAAGTCCAAGACCGATTGGAGAAGAGCGAATGGAAGATATTCAGGTCTTGTTGTCGTCAGATGCCCATTGTGTTTCCTTAAGAGGAATGAAGGTCTGCTGTGTATTTTAAAAATGACAATTTACAATCTCACGAGCTTATGATAAATTTTTAAGTAAAAATTAATTATTTCAGCCTGATACCGTCTCCAAGTTAATAAAAATTTCTGGAATCATAGTCTCGGCAAGTGGAATCAGGTCTAAAGCCACAAAAATCTCAATTCAGTGTAGATCATGCAGAAACATTATACCCAACCTTTCCATCAACCCAGGCTTTGAAGGATATCCGATGCCTCGACAGTGCAATGTGTAAGAGAAACAAATCCGTGTATTTAAATGAAAACATAATTAATTTATTTTAATCATGTAAAACGTGTGCAGAGAACAAGTTGGAAGACCCAAGTGTCCACTGGATCCATACTTTATCATGCCAGATAAGTGTAAATGCATCGACTTCCAAACTTTAAAGGTACAAGAATTTCATCACGATGTACCACAAGGCGAGATACCAAGGCACGTGCAACTGTACGTCGATCGTTACTTGTGCGACCGCGTCGTTCCTGGAAACAAAGTTTTAATTCTTGGCATACTTTCAATCAAAAAAGTACTGAAAGTAGGTAAATCTAGAGGTAGCGAGAAAGCTTCAGTGGGCATCCGCTCGTCTTACATCCGTGTTGTTGGTATACAAGTGGATGGAGAAAACAACCAAAATGGTAATACTACATTGAATTCTTTTTAACTTAAGCTCGTTTTTTATGACGTTTGTCAATTTGAACAATTTTTTTTAATTTTTCATCACTGTAGGCATCTACCTTCCCGTCGATTCCGACGAGGAAGATATGTTCAGGCGACTAGCCAAAGATCCAGAGATATACGAGAGAATCATAAAAAGTTTAGCCCCTAGCATCTATGGTGCGACTGACATGAAAAAATCCGTTGCTTGTCTGCTTTTCGGCGGTTCCAGGAAAAGGATGCCGGACGCATTATGCAGGAGAGGTGACATCAACGTATTAATGATTGGTGATCCAGGTACCGCTAAATCTCAACTATTGAAGTTTGTTGAGACTGTCTCTCCAGTTGGTGTTTACACGTCTGGAAAAGGAAGCTCTGCAGCTGGTCTTACCGCATCGGTGATACGCGATCCTTCCTCGGTATGTACAAAATTTACTTTGGTACATCACGAAAAGTGAAAGGACTTTATGCATGATCATGAACACTCACTTTTATGCATTTTAAAGTATTCAATACTGTTCGTGACTTGATTTCTTATAAATTTTTATAGAGAAACTTTGTAATGGAAGGTGGTGCTATGGTACTAGCGGACGGTGGTGTAGTTTGTATCGACGAATTCGATAAAATGCGTGAAGACGATCGCGTTGCCATTCACGAAGCCATGGAACAGCAAACAATATCGATAGCCAAGGCGGGAATCACAACAACGCTAAACACTCGTTGTTCAGTATTGGCGGCAGCTAACTCTATCTATGGTAAATGGGACGAGACGCAGGGCGATGCAAACATTGATTTCATGCCTACCATTCTGTCACGTTTCGATATGATTTTTGTCGTGAAGGATGAGCACGATCATGACAGAGATATCACACTAGCGAAACATATACTCAGTATTCACGCTAATGCAATGCAAACCGAAGAGAATGGGGTCGAGGGTGAACTCTCGGTCTCTCTTCTTAAGAAATACATTCACTTTTGCAGGACGTGAGTTGAGCGATTTTTTATTTATTTATTTTTTGTCCTTCAATTTAAGATAGAGCTTGTAATTTTTATTATCTTGCTTCGTTGTTTTGCAGAACTTGCGGTCCACGTCTAACTGTGGAAGCAGCTGATAAACTAAAAAATCGTTATGTAATGATGCGCTCGAGTTCGCTGCAAATGGAAAAAGATAGCAACAAGAAATCCAGTATACCAATAACCGTTCGTCAACTCGAGGCTATTATCCGCATTTCCGAATCCCTAGCAAAAATGCAGCTGTTACCATTTGTTTCTGAGACTCACGTTGATGAAGCTCTTAGATTGTTCCAAGTGTCTACAATGACTGCCGCACAATCCGGTACTCTTGAAGGTGAGCTTCATACTTTTTTTCTTTTCTTTCATTATATTTTTGAATCGATATGAAAAAACGATTTTTAATTTTTAGGTGCAGAGGGTTTGTCGTCGACGGACGATTTTGAAATGCTGAATCGTTTGGACAAGGAGATAAAAAAACGTTTTGTGATTGGCACACAGGTTTCAGAGAGAACCATTGTCAATGATTTTATCAATAAAAAATATCCCGAACGAGCGATTTACAAGGTTATACACACAATGATTCGACGAGGAGAATTGCAACACCGTATGCAGCGAAAAATGTTATTCCGAATGTGTTAAGGATCGTGGAAATTATTAATTCAAGTTGCAAATACTAATGAATCTCGGGAGTATTGCAAGGTGATAAACAAACGTTACTATAGAATTTTCCAATTGAATTTATGTACAACTGTAGCCTAAGCATGTTTTATGCGTTCACAGAACTATCGTAAATTTTTACATAATAATCTTTTTATACGTTTTACAAATTTTAATTAATGTTTTTTAAATTTTTGTAAAAGATCATTATCGTACCATCCATGAAATGTCGGTTCTTTGTGAAACTTGACAATAATTTTTAATGCAACAACTTGTAGTAAACTAAAACTTGAAGTTAAAGTGTATAAAAATTTATTTTGCATAAGGCTAAATTATTAAAGACTTTGGAACAAAAAATACTTTGCAACTACATAAAAAATATTATTTCCCTGATATCACGTAGACTTAATCGTAGATACTTGCGCACAGTTACTTGACGAAAGGATACTGAGGGTTCTTGCCAAGACTGAAAATAACAAAATATCATTAATCAATACGCAATGAAATACTCAATCACGCTTTTATTCGATAAATATGAGACTCACTCCTTGTAAAAAGCCAAGAAATCAAAGACACGTCCCTTCTCGCCCTTGTCGAGAGCATCGATCTTTTTCATCTCCTCCTCGGTCAGTTTGAAATCGAAAATCTGCAAGTTGGCCTTCTGCCTCTCGGGGTTCGAGCTCTTGGGAATGACAACAAGTCCGCTCTGTACAGAGTGTCTCAGTAAAATCTGTGCCGGTGATTTCTTGTACTTGTTGGCGAGCTCCTTCACCACTTGCTGTTCGACGAGCGGTGGCAGATCTTTTTCCGTGCCGTGATGAATACCGCTTCGCGCAGGTGCGGAGCCCAAGGGCGCGTAGGCGGTCATCACCATGTTATGGTCCTTGCAAAACTTCTGAAGGCCCTTTTGTTGAAGGTAACCGTGCAATTCCACCTGCGTACAAAAGATTTTTTTTCGTCAAGCACAATGACTGTAATTGCAACAATCGTGTACAACACGGACGTGTAAAAGAAAGAGAAAGTACACGTACAACGAAATTGTTGAGAAAACACAGTATCATAGGCATACAATAAGCTTATGTAAACGAGCAATCATTATTTATACCTGCAAATTACTGGGTTTGATTTCCGCGCTATTATAAACGTCCAAGACCTGCGATTGATTGAAATTGCTGAGACCAATGGATTTCGCTCGACCGGCTTTTACCTGGGCCTCCATTGCCTGTCGCAAAGAAAAATATCATCCATTTGAAACTTTGCCTTTTCTACATTGATAACACACAGTACGTTATACCTTCCACAGAGCTTTGTGATCCACGTGCTCGAAAAGTGCAAGTCCATTTTTGTCCAGAGGCGCATTGTTGGGTCCCTCCTCTACGCCGAACGGAGTATGAACCAAGTACATGTCGACGTAATCCAGCCCTAGATCCTTAAGCGAGAGCTTCAAGTATTTTTCGACGCTTTGTGGTCTGTTACCGTGGGTTGGAAGCTGAAAGAAAGAAAATCTTCGAATCTCGATCTCATCGATAAAAAAAAAAAAAAATAAATAAAAACAGCATTTAGACATACTTTCGATGTGATGAAGAGATTCTCCCGTTTGTTTCCTTTGTCGAACCACTTTTTCAGAGCTTTTCCAATCGCAGCTTCGTTGTCGTAGACAAAGGCGGTATCAATGTGCCTGTACCCGTTCTCCAAAGCTCCCAAGATCGCCTTCTCCATTTCTTCGATTTTAATCTGAAACACATGTTTTTTTTTTTTTTTTTTTTTTTTTTTTTTTTTTTTTTTTTTTTTTTTTTTTT